TGGTATCAGCGCAAAAGAAGAAACCAACCTCGATGCAGTTCTGCATTGGTTAATCGCCCGTGCCAGCCGGTAGAGGTGACTGATCCAAGGATGGCACCTGAGAAAAATGAGCGAGTGATCGGACCCTCATCGCCCTTCTATTCTTCATCTCGTCCGCGAGATTGGAGATCGTAGACTGCAGCCGTTGTTCGCGGCTGGCGGCCTAGTTGTAACGATGTGAACGTTTTTTGTGAGCCAGGCACATTGTTCGAATTCTAGCGAAGCTTTCTGTTTCATGGATGTTATGTTAATGAGATAGTCTTTGGAGTTGTTGCCGCATATCTTGCATGTAATCTATCATCATATCGAAGAGAGCAGACCATCGATCGAGAAGACCGGTGCGGTGACCGGCCCACCCCAACTCCAGAAAGAGATCTGAGGTGGAGAATGTGTGTGGTGCGTAAGAGATGTAGAATCTGGTGATGCGCCTCGGTTTGATCCAAGTATAGAAGGTTGATTCAAGTATAGAAGGGAAAGATGTAGAGAGCGCCGTCAGTCGCGCACTTCACTGCGCCAGGCACATTGCAATAACCGGAACATCGGCACTTGTTGATTCAAGGGCATGGCATTCTTCTTATTTAGAACATTTAGGAGAATGTTGATCGAGGGGAAATGAGGGAGAAGGGGGGGGAGGGAAGGAAAGAAACAACAACAGGGCAAACCAAACAAAAAAAGGTCAGACACACACGCACGCACACAGACCAAGTGATGCGTTGGCATTGCAGCTGCGAAGACGGGAACTAAGCAAGCCCTTTTCATGTCTTTCCAGCAAATCCTAGCCCCCGCCAACAGGGTCCAGCGAAGGTTCAGTGGCCCTTGTGCGTTTGCGCGCTGTCATCGCACGGCACTTCCAGTGATTAGGATGTGGGTGATTCATAATGGGGTGGGGGTGGTTAGTTAGTAGTATTCTTTGAAGTTGTGTTCGTTAGCTACCTAGTATAGAGTAGTCATCATTCAGAATTGACTGGAATAGAGTAGTCCCCTCTCATTTGAGCTATAATGATCAATATGGTGAGTGACTAAGCTTAGGAGTATTTACACTGGATTAAGCATGGACTTGTATGTAGTGAGCGTCGCTGTATCGGTCTAATTCTTCCTCTTCGCCCGCCGCGTTGTAGAACGGCTGCCAACTACAAATCCCTACCGGTATACCGGGATTTGGAATGGCACACGGAGTAGATGCCAGTAATTCCTTTGGGCCCAACAAACTCGGTAAAATCACTGACTGCACTGCCACTTGGGTGCATAAAAGCTTCTTCCATATTCCGTAAAGTGGCATTCACTTTATTGACACTACAGTACTGTACGTTGCAGAACGTCGGCGTAAATACTGCTATGGATCCCATTGCTCTGGTTTCTGCTCTGGTCTGCCTTGCGGTGGATGATATCATGCCGAGACAGCACCGCCTCAAAAAAGTGTGTTGGAGGTTTCCGTCCACGGTACGGAGTAGTGCGAATCGAACGGGTAATATACTCGTGGAACCGGGATCACGAGAGGTAAGCTTGAGAGAGTAAGCTCGTGATGTGATGTTGACTTGAACTTGTAGTTGTTCTGCCATGCAACTGGGAATCTTTGTTTCCATCCGACCGTTGATTGCGGGTGGCGGTCATCCGAGGTATCCGATGCCATGCTAGAAAACTGTACTGGACATAGTAAGGTATGGCAAGCAGGCACCAAAATTGATTTCGAATGAGGTCGAATAAGGTGTGAAGAAGGGCGAAAGGATCAAGGATTATTAGTGTGAAGGTGAGGAGAGATGGATCTAGTCTAGAATGAATAAGACGGACTTCATTGTAGCTTTTAGTGTGTACAAAATTATGCAGTTGTTGGTCCCCACATGCGGTGATGAGGTGTGGCTGGATCTATGGTGCATACATATAAGTTACGATAAGGTACAGTACCAGTAGCATACGGCGGTCGTTGGGAGCAACGATGACTTCATTACTCAGGGTGCTCTTGCGAAAAGGAAAAATCTCGATGGGACTCGAATTGATTCAATTTCACAGTCGATGATGCTACCATTCAATCTCTGACTTATTCATGTTTCAATTATGGAAAGGCCAAGAAGAGGAGGAACCTGACTAGTTCTAACTTCTCCAAGAGTATCCCCCCAGCCATCCTGAAAACAGTTGATAAGTTCCAATTCCTTACACTAAACGGAGGAACCCACTTCTTTTAGCCACAGGCCACAGCCCTACCCAATAGACTAGTTAAACCACTTACTCTTACTAGCCGTGCAGTTCCTTTCACTCAACTTTTGGCTGCTGCCTTCTGGTACCCGCCCCAAGAAGAACTTCTTCACTCACTCAACTCACTTCTCACTCTCTTCTTCTCTCCCTTTACATTGTTCCTGGCCCAAGTTTCTTTGCTTGCCCAAACCTCTCTCAAACCCGTTTGATTCGACATCAATTCATCTTAACTCATCTTGCACTCGTTTCGTCAGTTCTCTACGCCTGCTGATCGACGTCATCCTCCGCCGCCTTCCCCAGAGTATCGCCTCGCATCGAGAGGTTCAGCCACCATGGGTGTCCTGCTACGTCGAGATTGGTATGTAAACTCAACACACCATGGTATCGGCTACATTCACATCTTATGGATGTACGCCATGGATCCACAAGATTTTCTTAAAATTCCTAACAACTATCTAGCCGGGAGACATATAATGGCTATGTCTGCGATGGCAATAGCTGGTACGATTGGGGTCGATGGATCGCCTTCGCTGTCATTGTTGGAGTAGCTTTACTTGTCTTCTTCCTCTTCGCGTATGTTGTCCCTAACCCCTTGTGCAAGAACAAGTCAGAAGACTAATTGTTTTGGCAGTTGTTTCAATGCTCGCCGTCGGCGCAGACAAGGCCTTCGTCCTCATCCCGGCACCGCATGGCTTGCGGGCCCTCCGCCGACCTTTCAGCAATCGCAGCAACAGCAACAGCCTGGACAACCGTACTACGCAGACCCCTACTACCAGCCTGCCCCGCCGCCGCAATACTCTCCTCATCCTCAGTATGGCTACTTCGGGGGCCAGCAGCAAACGGGCATTGAACTGCAACAGCCACAGAATGCCTACCACAATGGTGGCGAACGTGTATATCAACCCCCGCCGGGTCCTCCTCCGGCCTCCAAGGTCTAATCCCACCTGCCTTTGCTTTTCAACCAACGAAATGAAACACTATGTCTATTCTCAAGGAGTCTCTTGATCGGCCGTTTAAATAATCGTCCAGTCGGTTGGTTTCCGTCGCGCCACTGGAATATGTCGCCCTTCACCTCGCGACCAACTCGAGGAGAGGCTGTTACGAGCAAAATGTGTGACGGGACTCATGAGTATCTTTGTGTTGTATTCCCTATTCCCTACTCGTATTTTAATGACTTTGTCGGGGGTGTTGACCTATGGTTTCTTTTTTTTCTTTCTTTCTTTTTTCTTGTCACTATTGGGAGCCTGGTTTGCATGACGTTTCGATACCTTCCATTGCACCTATTATTTTTATTTGTGTCATACGGTCCTCCTGCTTCTTCGCCGTGGCATGTCTCCTACACCAATATCGCTTCATATCTAATGCATATAAATGAACCCCTGAGAGACCATGTGTTGCGCAGTGGATCTGGAATCCATTCAAGATAGCCCGGTCGATTTTGCCGATGCTGCCTATCTTGTCCATTTCTGGGAACTTATTTTGGTTTGGGAGTTCAAGGGGAGAGAGAACAAGAGGGCACCGCAGGCCATGCATGGGTTAGGCAGCCGAGTTCTGCCATTGCTCTGCCTTGGGGTCTCCCCCGCGCTTCACAATCATACTTCCTAGTTTCTGATTCGAAGTCTGAAGAAACTCGATCAGCTCAAGACAGGGTTATACTAGGTAATCTCCTTTTGTATTGTAGTTTTTATAAGGTACGTAGACTGTTAGTCAGTATGATGGTAATTTACCAAAGTACTTGAGTACATGATGCCACGGAGGTTCAGTGGGCCCTGCGACTGCCAATGAGGGGGTTTCACCTTCGTTTCGATCGACACTGGTGGAGTGCGACCGAGGAAGGGGGGAAACGACAGTTTCAAGTGCAGGTCAGTCGAGTTAGTTGACTTTATGAGTACTTAGTGATAAGGGCGAGATGGGGCCGCAAATACGAGGTTTGTGATGTTTGATCGGTTGATGGTTGATGGTTGTTCTCTCCGCACTCAATGGAACGCCGATCTCTGAACTGAAGTTCTTTCCTTTCTCTCTTTCGTTCCGCTTCATCCAACTCCTCTCCCTGCCTCCTCCTCCTCCTCCCTTCTCTTCTTCTCCTTCGTTTTGGCTTCTAATCATCTTCCCCCCGGTCGCTTAGGGACTTCCTAGCGGCGCCTTTCGTTCTATCCGGCTCCCTACTTCCCAATCCTGGAAAGGGAACCATTGCCTTGCAGGTGCCTAAAAGTCTACATCTGATCGTTCCTTTCTCTCCTTCCCCCTAAAGGCAGTGAGTGCTCTTTGAGCGCACGCACAACACTCAAAACAAAGATCATTATCCATCCATCCAGTCTTTATTACACTGTCGCGTCAATCGGGCCATTGTGCGAATACAGGTTTTGCATATCCGGTGCCCTTTTGAAACACACCATTCGATTCCACCTTGCGCAAATCCGGCATCGCGTAAAGTCGCAAACCGAGTCACTCATTGCACCCAGACCGAAGGAGTGGATGGACACATGAACAACGCATACATTCATTCATACTCTTCGGCATTGTTGCTATTTCCGACCCCAATCACTCCGAAACGACGCCCACGATCGCTATCTGGGTCGATACCGCTCCTTTTGTTATCATCACGCTGCAAATTACATGATCGCATCCGACGTGTCAGGAACACGCTTACAAAACAGACTCTATAACTTTGACCGTTCACATTCGTTTTACCCGGTCCTTGAACAAGAGTGGGGTGTTTTTGGATAGACTAGCGGCAAGGTTAGAGCACACGGACTGCCAGGGCCATAATAATGAGTCCGGTGGATACGGTCCCCGCCCCATTGTGGGCGCGAGATATAGTCAGCGATCTCAAGTCTGCCTCTTCTACCTTCTCGAGTTGGGATAGTTGCATGTCCAAGGCTTACTGCAAGTATGTTATATGAACACAGTACAATACTTCCAGAAACTGACCAGAGTTCTTAGGTGGCCTGTCATTGCTGCTATCATCGTCGGCGGGCTGATTGTTCTGTCCGTCATTGCGTGTATTGTCAACTGTCTATGCTGCGGTATTCAATGCTGCAAAGGATGTTGCGGATGTTGTTCAATGTGCTGTCCGTCGCCTCGAAACAGGCAACGCAAGGCTAAGCACTTGGACGATCCGTACCCACCCCCAGATATGCCGGGGGCTATGCCAGGGACTATGCCGCCTCCGATGCCAGTAAAGTCTCCATATCAAGCTCCGCAGCCGCCGCCCGTGTATCGGGGAACGGAAGTCGCTCGCTTTGATGCCCCGACGAGCCCTGCAGGGTCGAAGTTCAACGAGGATGCGTTGCCTGCCATGCCCAGCTGGGATAATGCTGTGACCAAGAGGGTGGAAGATACTGGCCCCCATGTGGAGGCAGTCGAGTTGGAGTCTATGAATCATGTCAGTCGCGAGCCTCGTCGGATGCCGTCTGCGCCTAGAATGAATGGGGGAGGGGTGGGTGGTGGAGGCTACATGGGCCCTCCGCCGGTTAGAGCTGGTACTCCTGGTCAATATCCTATTCGGACCGGCACGCCTGGTCAATATCCTGCTAGAACCGGCACGCCTGGTCAATATCCCATTCGGACCGGCACGCCCGGGCAATACCCAGAGAGGACGGGCACTCCTGGTCATCACCTTGACAGAACAGACATTCCTGGCCACTACCCCGAGCCTCAAGACTACAATGCGCAAACCCCGCATGGGTACGATGCTCAGAACACATACGGGTACAACCACAATGGCCCCAGATCGCCTCCTCCCATTTCTCCATACGATGAGCAGCCTTACAATCATGGCTTCCCCCATGAAGAACGGTATCATACGATGTCACCGGCTCCAACCTACACCACGCAGCCCGCTCATGCACCAGCGGAGCATTCGCAGCCTTATTACATGCCATCGGAAACCCCACTCCCTCCATATATGCCAATGGACCGAACACGATCTCCGGCTCCCGCCCTCTCATCGGCCATGAATGCCCCTCGGCCCGTACCGTACCGCCAACCTTCCCCGGCGATCAGTCAATACATACCTTACCAGGGAGTCTCCCCGGTCACACCTCCCTCACCACCGTCTTTCGCTGCCGCGCCGACTCCTCACGAAGCTAGTGACCCGGGCAGGCCCCCGAGTCTCCTGCAGAGCGGACGGAGGCCGGTGCCCAACTCTTACCGGGACGTGTAAAACTTCGTTATGACCCCGGATTGATACCCGCCTGTGTTTTGAAATTCATTTCAAGAATTCCTGATGACCCTAAATGTCGAAGCCATTATCACGCAAATCAACATGACCTGAACAGATTTAGGTAGAACGAGGAGCTACCATGATATCTGAAACCCTCTAGACAAGCCCATCCCCCCACGCAAGCAGTCAAGGCCGAGTTTCACGCTGAACAGTGACTCAGCCCTGCGCTGCGTATCTGCTTCTTGCATTCCTCTTTGGCTATTAGAGGGCCCTTGCTCTTTCTTGTCATCGGAATGCCACACTATAAGCCCCCCTCTCATTTCGCCCGTGCATGACCTTGTATATACCTTCCCTTGTATCATACTTGGTCCGATGTGGCCCGCCAGGACAGAATCCTGCATGATGTATGTTTGATCTCTATGATTGTCAATTTGATGAAGTGGGATGGCTACTGCCGTACCATCCTGTGTCCTGCCTTAACATTTGATCTTCTATGGTTCGGCGAGTTAGGAGTCCAAAGCCACAGACATACCTGGGCCCATGCTATCTCTTGGATGTCCCGTCCTCGCTACGGTATCTCGTAATACATGCCAAGGTAACCATTCCCACATCTGGCTAGCCACCGAGTAAATGTCATCCAACTACAGAGTACCGCAAACCTAAATCCCCTGTGATACACACGGTATAGTCGAATAACATGCGGAGACAAACTCCATCCGCAAAATAAGTTGACTGGGTATTGGGATGTGAACCCCCGTAAAAATACACTTCTATTTTGCGCCTGGACTCAAAATAAAAGGGTCCTTTCAGCTTTTTTACTTCCCAATTCCTTAGACTCCTACCTCGCTTTTGGTCTATAGGGTGAAATCAAACTCCTTGAACGCCTCCTTGAAGGCCACCGCATCGGCCTCCTCCTGCTCCTGCGACTGGACATCCTTGCGCCAGTCGATTCGCTTCTCCAACTCCATCAACTTGGCCATGACCCGGCGGCCGAATTGGAGATCGAACCGGAACTCCGGGCCGAGGGGGAGGAGGATTGTTTTGTCGGTGCCGGTGGTTGTGGTTGTGGTTGTTTTTTCGTTGGGTTCTGGGTTTTCTGCTGGGTTGTTGTTGTTGTTGTTTTGTTTGTCTGAGTCAGCAGGAGAGGGACTCCAGATCCAGACCCGGAAGAAGTCGCCGGGCTCGCTGCTGGGGTCCGCGGTGGCGGTTGGGGCTTCGAAGCGCGGGTATTTGAGGTTCTCGGCCTCGACCTTGAAGGCGGCCTCGACGAGGCCCCGCTGGATGAGGGCCGCCGGCACGGGCAGGAACTGCCAGTGCACGTGGATGCCGTTCCCGCGGCTGACCTCCCAGGTGACAGCGCCGAGGGCGCCGGCGGCGCGGCGCTGGAGCATGGCGTGCAGCGCGGTGCGGTAGCGGGTCATCTCGGCGTAGGTGGCGCGGCGGGAGGAGTCGTCGGTGATGGCGGGCAGGGTCGGGGTGTGCGTGAAGGGGATGATGAGCATGTGGCCGGGGAAGTTGAGGTCATGCTGGGCGAAGGTGCGGGCGGTGGGGAGTGGGCCCTTGGCGGTGGTCAGGTAGCTCTCTTCGCCAATGGAGGTGATGAGGTGGGTGGCGATGTTGGGGTTGGAGAGGCAGAAGAAGCATTGGTCCGGGCCGGGGGGTGGCAGGCCGCCGTGGTTGCGGGCCCGTTTGCGGGGCCGGTGCTCGTGCTGCTGGTTGTGGCTCTGGTCGAAGCGTTGGAAGCTGTCGTGTTGGCTGTCGAGGGGCTTGCGTTTGAGGTGGGCGGGTGCGGGGAAGGGGGAGGCGGTTGCGCCGGCGGGAACGGTGAGCGGCGCGGCGGCTTTCGGGTCCAGCGTGAAGGCGTACATCCATTTCTGTTTGCTAGCCTTGCGGTAGGAGGCCAGGCTGATAAAGCGGGTCAGTGGCTTGGTGTCCGGGTTGTCGTCCTCGGAGGTGGGGAGGTGGAAGAAGGGTTCGCGCTCGAAGAAGAAGTCCGGCGTCGAGGTGAGGTGGTAGCGCGGTTTGAGCGTCGCGCAGAGGTCGGAGATGCATTGGACTTCGTCCGGGGGCGCCGTCGTCGCGGCTTCTTCGGGGAAGGGTGCCGTGGAGCCCGTGCGGATTCCCTTGGGCCATTGGTTGGTGATGAGGATGTCGGCGGAGTGCGCGCCATGGAGGGTACGGGCGTCGGATTCGGTGTAACTGGGTTGGTAATTGTCGGAGGAGGCCTGGTTGTCTGTCGAAAGCTTGCCCCCCAGGGTGACGATGCGGATGCCCTCGGCGGTCTTCAGGGTGCCGCGGCGGCCCAGAAAGTACAGGTTAGGGCAGACTTCATCGTTGGCCTCGATCGCCTCGATCACTCGCGTGGGAAGTGGCCGGCTGCCCAGGGAGAAGTATGTTGGAAGGGGTACGGCGATGCTACCTGAGAGCAGGGCCGAGATCTGCTCCAACTCATGCTCCGTCGAGCAGTCGCCGAAGAGGTCTCCAACGATGATGGCGAAGGAGAAATTCTGCTTGACATGTAGCTTCGCAAGTTTGGTGAAGACGTCTTGGAGCTCACAGTTGACACCTCCGATGACGACTCTGGGGGCTGTTAGTGATTAAGTGACAGGACTGTGGCTGGCGCACTCACATCTTGGAAGCCATGTTGCGATTCGATACTATGATGCAAGAATCGAGGCTGGCGCAATTGGAGTCGCACTGGACTCAGTCAGGGTTCTATGGACTCCAGCCTTTTGTGATCTGTGATTTGCGCAATGAGAGTCGGAGAAGTATGGTGGTTGTGTTGTTCAAATGTTACCACAATCCCGTAATGAATCCAATCGACTATTGTAGATTGAATTGAATTAAATGGAATGAAGCCTGGAGCTGAGACTGGGCTGGATCGCCAAAAATGGAGCGGCAGGAAGCTTGGGCCCACTGCGGCCCACGTGATAGGCCTTGCCAGTTGTTAACCCCGGCGCTAAAAGAGACAATCTCCGCACCCGGAACAAGGTTGCTGCGGCACCGATGAATTTTTTTGTCTATACGGCAAAGAGGGGCGGTGATGGAACCAGTCCCCCATTAATTTGATATTGTTAACTTCATATACACAGCGGCGCTGCTTATTTCAGTCACCATCATACGTCAGGATGGTAGCAGCGTCGTCTTCTTCGCGGTCAAAGCCCGTGAAGCGGGTCAAGGGAGGGACAGAGACAACAAAGTCGCATCGATTCGAACCGTTTTCGCAGCGCGTCGCAAAGCTCAAGATCGATCCCATCCATCGCGTGCGCCGCCCCAGCTTTGGTGAAGAAGGCGACGAGACCTCCTCATACTTCCGTTCGGCCTTCGATCACTGGGTCGAGTTGAACCTGTCCGAGAATTTCGTACAATTCGCTCGTCGAGTCAACCCGCTGTGCGAGAGTCTGGCCCAGATCCTGTACCATGAGGACAAGATTATGAACCTGCTGGTGGAGTTCATCGAGAAGAGGGATCAGTTGTCGATAGAGCCACTATTGGCTCTTCTTGCCCAATTTGCACGAGATCTGGGTGTACGCTTCGAGAAGCACTTCGCCACGGCCGTCACCCTCGTCGCATCCGTTGCAGCCACCCACACTGACGTCGAAGTTGTCGAATGGAGCTTCAGCTGCTTGGCATGGATCTTCAAGTTCCTTTCGCGACTTTTGGTCCCAGACCTCCGGCAGCTGTTGGGCATCATGACTCCCTATCTCGGCAAAGAACGACAAAAGACACATGTTGCCCGATTCGCCGCCGAGTCCATGTCCTTCCTTATCCGCAAGGCGGGTCTGGTCTATTACAAGAATCCTACTCCCCTTCAACGTGCGGTCTCGTTCCTACTGGAGGATCTGCGTCAAGCAGCTGGTGACGACAAGAATGTCGATATCTACAAGGACGGACTTATGGCCATGTTCTCCGACGCCATCAAGGGTGTCAAGAATGGCATTCACTCTAACGGAACTGATATCCTGACTTGCATTCTGGAACATATCTGCAACGGTGATGATCTACAAAGCAGTCTGGCGTTAGACGTCACTTGCGGATTGCTTATCAACATAATGCACAATACGACGGCCGAGACCTATGAACCCATCCTGGATACCGTCCGCTCTTACATCGAATCATCCTGCTCCAAGACCGACAAGCAACATGCGAACGCATGCTGTCGCTTGATATTCCAGTGTATCGCCACTCGCAAGGGTTCTCGAGTCAAGGTCTGGAAGCCTGTTCATAACATCCTCCTTCGTCTGCTCAAGAAGGCTGCAGAAGCGCCGGAGGCGTACGCTGAGGCTGCCCCGCAGCTTCTGACTGCTGTCGCATATGCACTTCAAGTCTCTCCAATGGACGAGATGTTGCCATACATGCGTTCACTCATGGATGCTGTGACCAACGACAAACTTTCATCCTTCTTCCTGCCGTTTTGTGCTACCTTCTCGGAGTGGGGTCCCGAGAGATTTCACAGCGTCGTTCTGCCTTATTTCCAGAAATTCGTGAACACATTGTGGCAGGAGCACGAGCATGAGCTCTGCCTGGCCTTGTTGCGACTGAACCAGGCTGGCTGCATTACATCAGAAGCCTCGAAGCCTGGTTACATTACCTGCCCTGCAATGTGGAAATCCCGTGTCAAGGAAACACTAAGCAAGCCCACACACAATGCTACCGAACTGAGCCTTGTCAACGCATATTCTAAGCTTCCGAATGCGATGTCTTTGTCAACGGAACCAACTTTGTTGCCTGATATGGTACAAACCTTGCACGGTCATCTGCTTCGCACCTTGAAGAAGAACAAGAAGAATGTGGATACGTCTGCGACAACCAAATTCTACTTGGGCCAAGGCTTCAAGGCATATGTGGAACTTGCCTTGCAGTCCGAGAAACTCGACCGCTCTCTCTGGAAGCAGATCAGCGCAGTAGCCGCAACGTACTCTCGTCTTCCGGTGTTCCTCGAAGCGACGCTGGCCTATCTCTCGGCTCTGAACGGAGACATCGACCTCGATGACTCCGCTGTCGAAGACTTTGCGGATGTGCTCATTACAAATCTCAACGGCCCGTCCCAGAAACTCAGGTTATTGTCTTTGAAGATCCTTAGAGAACTGGTCCAAGCGTTGGGCGACGATGCTGAGATGGTCTCTCTGGCCATTGAGATTGAAGAGAGTCAGTTGACGCTTCATAGCCATAGAGTTTTGGCAATGCAAGTGCGTAAACTTGCTCTAGCTTATCCACAGGTGGTCCCCCGCAGGTGGATGGCTAGGTTGATTCCCAACTTTTGTTTTGGACTCTTTTCCAAGAAGATGACTCCGTTGTGGGACGATTCTGCGGAGGCCTTGAAATCAATGAGCGAGAATCCCGAGGGCGAGAAGATCATTTCGGATCTTGCCATGAAGTGGCTTCTCGAACGGGGCTCTTTGGACACGAGCGCGGATGAGCAAGAGGAAGAAACCCCTGACTACCGGTCTGGGTATTTCCAGTGCTTTAACGCGGCCAGGATTGAAGATATATCCGCTAAATACTTCCAAGGCCCTGAGCAACCCGGTTCATTGCTAGAGGACGAGTACAGCAAGGATCATACCTTTACGGATGCACTACCAGCTTCTCCCCGAACCCATGCTCTTCGTGTTCTGAACGCCATACCTAACATCGCAGAGAAACGATTCCGCCAAATCGCGCCCTTGTTTCTCCAGTGGGCTTCGCGTGATGACGACGAGAGTCCCTCGGACGAAGACTTCATCCCCTGGGGTTTCCTCGATCGTCTGGCATTCCTCAGGCTTCTTGGCCAATTCGTCAATCCTCGTGTTCTATACAGGGCTCCTGAGATCCATGATGCTATTTTGGGATTGCTTTGCCATGGTAACTCTGACATTCAAAAATGTGCACTCAAAGCTCTTTTTACTTGGAAGTCACCAAGTATAGCCCCCTACCAAGAGAATCTTATGAATATCATGGATGAAAACCGCTTTAGGGATGAGCTTTCTGTGTTCGTTCGCGTTGGTGGTGAAGATAGCTTGATCGAGGAAGCACACCGGCCTGAGCTCGTTCCTGTTCTCCTCCGTGTATTGTATGGTCGTATGATCTCGAAGGCCGGCGCGACTTCTAGCCAGGCAGGGCAAACGGGGCGGAGAAAGGCTATCTTGAGAACCTTGTCACAGCTACCTGATAAGGAATTCGAGGTCTTCATGCAAGTCTCCTTCGGTCCTCTTAGCGATGTCAGTCATGTCCGCGATGGTCAAATTGAGCAGCAAGCTTTCGAGCAATCCCTGGCTAGTCCGAGGAAGCAAACGGGTCTACTGAAGATGATTGAAACTGTCTTCGAAACACTTCAAAACCGAATGGTCCCCTATGCGGAGAGATCCATGAACGTGGTGCTTTATTGTCTTGTGCGAGCATGCAGGGAGCTTGAGAAGGCGCAGACGGCGTCAGCTGCAGACTCGCAAGAAGAACGGCAGCTGACAGTGCTGCGTAATATTCGCTACACGTGCATACGCTGTCTCGACCTCATCTTTGCCATGTCTCTCGACACTGACTGGTCGTCTTACGTTCGCATCATTTTTGACGAGGTGATTAATTCGAGACTGGAAGGTTTCGCCATTGAAACCGCTCAGGGTGTATCCGGTCTCCTCAAGCTCTTCCATACCTGGGCTACTTCCCCGAAATCGTCATTCTATCTCACCAAATTCAACGATGCCTTGTTGACGAAGGTGGTGGATATCCTTGGTGTCGACTCCGCACGAGATGAAGTCAAGGCTTTCGTCATGGATGAGGTATTGAATCCCTTGATCGGGCTGGCCACCGGAAAGACGCTTCAGGATAACGAGACCATGAGTGATATTCCTGCGGACGAAATTAGGTCCCAGGTTTTGGGTCCTTATATTGAGCATATTCTGTCTCATTTGGCTCAGCTCCTCAAACGTGGCCCCTCCCGTACTTTGCTCGTCTCGGGTGTTCAAACTCTTTCTCTCATCTCGCCCTGCGTCGAATCTTCGAAGGAGACATACAGCCTCATCAGCATCACTACCTATCTTCTCCGCCAACCCCCCGACAGAGTCTCCCCTAAAACGAAATCCGGCCTCCTGCGCTCCTTGGAGCATTTCCTACCCTTATTCAACACCCAGGAGGATCTTGAGCTCACCAAGGCCGTTTTTGAGGCTATCTCGTCCCTTTTCGATTACTTCCGGGACGATGCGAACAGAGAGGTTCTGTCCAGAGTCTTCACGGCGTTTGCCACCCACGACTCTGATCTTACCAAGGTTGCTAGTCTCTGTGAGGACTTGAACTCCATCTCTAGAAAGAAGCTGGAAGTCGATTACGAACGCCGACTGCAAGCTTTCAGAGAAATCAACGACAATTTGTGGGACAAGCTTGACGCTAAGCAGTGGCGCCCGCTGCTCTACAACGTGTTGTATCAAGTCAAAGACGAGGAAGAACTCGCGATCCGAACGAGTGCTGCTTTCGGCCTGAAGCGATTCATGGAGCGAGCCATTCTTCCCAATGACCAAGACGAAATGGAAGTGCTTGTAATCGATATCTTGTTCCCTGCTTTGCAGGCCGGTGTTCGCCAGAAGTCAGAGCTTATCCGCGCCGAATTTGTGGCTGCGCTCGGATATTTCATCAAGCTGAACCCTGAACGCCCAACCGTGAAAGACATGCATGTCTTGCTTGTGGGTGACGATGAAGAAGCCTCGTTCTTCAACAATGTCCTGCACATCCAACAACATCGTCGTCTGCGTGCACTGCGCCGTTTGGCAGGCGAAGCAGCCAAGGGCAATCTCCAGGCGTCCAACATTAGCACCATCTTCATTCCTCTCAATGAACACTTTGTGTTTGACGAAGAGGTCGATGAGGCGGCTCACAACTTGACCGCCGAGGCTGTGAATACCATTGGCACTCTGGCAGAATCTTTGGAGTGGCCCCAGTTCCGTGCCATCTTCCGGAGATATCGTGGCTACATGCAAAGCAAGTCGGAATTGGAGAAGAGCATTTTGAGACTTCTTGGTAAGATGTCTGACTCGTTGACCAACGCCATGAAACAGCATAAAGCTATCAAGGATGCTGCTCAGAGTGGGATGGACGGTCTTGAGACGTCAGAGCCGACCTCCACTCTCGCACGAACCATCCCTTCAACCGCAAAGGTTGCGAACGAGCTTACTTCTAATTTCATCCCTCAGTTGACCAACTTCATTCACCACAAGGATGAAGCGCAGATGAGTCTACGTCTGCCAGCTGCGGTCACGACCATCAAGCTTTTGAAGTTGCTGCCTGAGGAAGACATGGCCATCCGTTTGCCCCCAGTTCTTCTGGATGTTTGCAGCATTCTTAAGAGTAAGGCTCAGGATTCACGAGACACTGCTAGAAAGACACTGAATGAGATTGCGCTCCTGCTGGGTCCTAGTTACCTCAGATACATCCTGAAGGAACTGCGTACCACTTTGACCAAGGGCTATCAGCGTCACGTGCTTTCATTCACTGTTCACTCTATACTCGTCGGTACGACAGACGTGTTCAAACAGGGCGATCTGGACGACTGCCTGACAGAACTGGGCTCTATTATCATGGACGACACGTTTGGCGCTGTGGGCCAGGAGAAGGAGGCAGAAGAGTATGTGAGCAAGATGACGGAAGTCAAGAGCAGCAAGAGCTACGATTCGATGGAGCTCTTAGCAAAGAATGCTACTGTTCCCAACCTTGCCAGGCTCCTCCGACCTCTGCAATCGCTTCTTCTGGAGAAGCTCAACTCCAACATTATCAGGAAAGTCGACGAGCTACTGCGAAGAATTGGCGTGGGTCTTTTGAGGAACCCTGGAGTGGAAAGTCGCGACATCCTGATGTTCTGCTACGAAATCATCAAGGAGACGTACAAAGGACCCATTCAAGCGGAGAACAAGACAGTCAAATCGGCACAGGAAGAAAATCTGTTGATTGACCTCAAGTTCCACAAGCGAAGCGACAAGAAAGGAAGCACGACTTCTTATCTTTACAAGTTGACGCGCTTCTCTCTCGATGTCCTGCGTACTGTCTTGAACAAGTACAATTCCTTGCTCACGCCCGGAAATCTGGCTGGGTTCATTCCTGTCATCGGCGATTCACTGGTCCAGGCACATGAGGAAGTTAAGACTTCAGCTCTCCGCTTGTTGTCGACAATCATCAAGCTTCCGATTCCGGAAATTGATGCCAATCATCACGTGTATATCACAGAAGCTGTCAAGGTCGTCAAGGAGGCACCGAGCACCAATACGGAGGCTGCGCAAGCGTCCTTGAAACTGATTACGGCAATGCTACGAGAACGGAAGAGCACCAAAATCAGGGACGGTCACCTTGCCTATCTCCTCCAACGTCTCAACTCAGATATTGAGGAGCCTGACCGTCAAGGTATAGCCTTCAACTTCGTCCGTGCAGTGATGTCTCGCAAGTTTGTGGTGCCTGAAATGTATGAACTGGCTGATAGCATCGCTACCATGATGGTCACCAACCAGACCCGCGCCGCTCGTGATTTAGCACGGGGCACGTACGTCCACTTCTTGATTGAATACCCGCAAGCCAAGAACAGATGGACCAAACAGCTTAGTTTCTTGGCCAAGAACCTGGAATATAAGCATCAAGAAGGGCGCCAATCAGTCATGGAGGCCATTCACTTGTTGCTGTCTAAGACGGGCGATGAGCTGGCTCAAGACATTGTCAGCACGTTCTTCCTGCCCATTGTCATTGTGATGTCGAATGACGATGCGCCTGAGTGCAGGGAGATGGCTGGTCACCTACTGGGCGAGTTGTACTCCAGGGCCGATAGGGAACAGATGAAGACTATGCTTACGCCTCTACACTCGTGGCTAGAACAGACGGAAAACATGCTCTTGAACAGCACTGGCCTACAGGCCATGAGAATCTACTTCGAAGTCGAGGCGACGGAGAAAGACAAGGAGGCTCGATTTGTTCTGGATATCTTGCCGTCCATCATGCAGCCAGTCCTCAAAGCCGACGATAATGAGAATTGGCAGACGCTGTACTTCGCTCTTCAACTTTTCTCGAAGCTCTGCAAGACCGTCCCCGCTCTGGCGCTTTCCCCGGAGCGTGCGCCGATCTGGGCTGCCGTCCGCGAGAGTCTCTTCTACACCCACGCCTGGGTCAAAACCTGTGCCTCGAATCTGGTTGGCACATGGTTCGCGGATCTGGCACGCTTTAACGCCACCAATGGCTACGCGTCAATCCCGCTGGCTGGTTCCACGGGGTTGTCCCTCGACAAAGATGCTATGTTGCAGCTGATCCGTGCCAGCTTGCGCTGTCTCCACACCCCGGCAGTCAGCGAGGAGCTTGCCATGCAATCCGTCCGCGATCTTATTTTCCTGGGTCGCTGCTGCGCTCAGAACGGGTTGGAGTTCACGCGGTCGGGTGGCAAGGACGCAGAGTCGGACGCTAGTGACAGCGAGCACGAAGATGACGAGGAGGAAGCCCAGCGGTCGTCCTCTTCCAAGTTGAAGCCTGCCATTCGGTATATCTTCGAGCAGACGTCTTCCATTCTCCGCCGAGAACTTATCACCACACGGGCGGAGTCCTTGATTCCCAAGACCGCTGCCATCGGTCTTCTCGCTTCGCTGTGCCGCCATCTCGAGGTTGACCAGCTCAGTGGATCTCTCGCGGTCATCCTGCTCCCTCTCCAGCACATGACGGACAACACCATCCCGGCGCCCCGCTCCTCGGACGAGGCGTTCCGCGAGTCGTACAAATCCCTGGTGGCCAACTGCCACGAAGTGCTCGATATTCTGCAGAAGAAGCTCGGTACCACCGAGTTCGTGAAGCAGATGGGCGAAGTCCAGGATGCAATCAAGGAGCGACGTGAAGGCAGACGCGTTAAGCGACGCATCGAGGCGGTTGCCGAACCCGAGAGATACGAGAAGGACAAGAGGAGGAGGAACGACCGCAAGCGCGAGAAGCGCAAGGAACGAGGAGCCGAGCACCGCGGCAAGAGACGTGGTTGGTAAGAGGAGTGGGTGATTTGCTAAGCGAATTGTTTCCTTTTTCTCATCTTCTGGAGCTGTCATATAAAAAGTCCACGGCGTTGACGGAGAGGATAGGAGATCTCTTTTTTTCGTTCTAGTATATTATATTACATGATTTCTTTCCTTCTTTGCTTGCATCATCTTCCGAGTCCAGCCTCAAAGTAAGTATGTAGAGCAGAGTGTCACTGCACCTGAACCTCCCCAAAATTCTATCCACAGAAGCAAGTAGCCCAACCCAAACACGTCCATGACAGACAAGGATCCAAAACGCCTCTAGCACCACGCTCCACGCTTTGCGGAATACTTCCAGCAGAATTTCACAACCCCAACTTTTCTTTTTCCCCCTTTCAGTTGATCATACAGCACAACCTCAGCCCGGAAAAAAAATCAAGCAATCCGACCCTGCACCTGCCCAGCCTCCCCACCCTTGTTCTTTCCATCCGCAGCCTCCGCCTCCTTCACCTCCCCATTCTCCCAGAACTCCATATCCCCATTGGTGTACCCGCGCATCAGCTTGTCCCCCTGACGCGCCAGGATATCCTCGAGGGTGCTCTTCTCGTCGAAGAAGATGTTCAGGTGGTCGGCGATGACGTGCCGGTTGCTGCAGGTGGGGCACTGGATCAGCACGGTGCCGCGGTGGTAGCCGTGCTTGGACATGCGGTGCGACGACCGCCCGCCGCACGGCTTGCAGGTGAAGGTGATCTGGTAGGCGGGCTCCTGCTCGCGGCGGAGGCGGTTCTGCTCCGCGTGCGCCGCGTCGGTGGCGGCGTCGCCGTGGCGGTCGGTGAGGGTGTTGGTGTTGCTTTCGTTGGTGCTGGTATTGCTCTCCTCGGTGGTGGCGGTGGGATCTGGTTGGCTGGTGGTGGTGGTGGAGTTGTGGCGCGCGGAGAGGAGTGCGGTGGTTTTAGTTGTGGTTCTTGTGGTTGCGAGTGGGCAGGGAGAGGTGAGGTGGGTGAATGTGCGCGATGATGCTGATGCTGATATGGATGAAAATGAGGATGCGGGTGTGAGAAAAGTGGCGCTTGCGCTGGCGCTGGCGTTGGCGCTGGCGTTGGAGATGGTTGCTGCGCGGGGGTGGGAGCGCTGGGTGAGGGCGCGGAGGCCGTGGGAGAGGGATTGGATTGAGCGCATTGTTGTCTGTTTGGCGTTGAAAGGTATTGAGAGAGGGAGGTGGTATAGATTTAGTGAAGGACAATCGAAGAAAGAAAGAAAAAAAAAGATTGGAGTGAATACCTCCAAAGGTTGTAGAAAGCGGGAGAATGACGGAGTTTCCGCGCCGCGGAGTTTACATCGGAGATAAGTTTTTCCAGGCCCCTCGGCGGGTCTTTCCCCTGCTCGTCACTTTACTTTACTTGACTTGACTTGACTGACTTTACTGTACAATACTATCTATCTATCCATTCTCATATCTCATTTCCTCGAGCTTGATTTGCTCGCAAATCACCTTGATGTGTTAACCTGCTTTGACTATACCCTTGTTCTTCTCCAGCGCTAACTTGGGCATCTGGATGATCCCCTCTCGCCACTCTCGCTAGCTACTTTTCTCCGTTCCCTAAGGCACTCACTCTGTCTCCTCTCGGAATCTTATCCAAATCTTATCCACGCCGGAGCTTTGCCCCGCGCATGCCAACGCCCGAGTATACAACGTCAGTCAAATTGAGATGGCCATGAGAGCACGACAGCGGATTCGCGCTCCGCGAAGGGTGAGTTGACATTTTTTTGATTATTATTATGTTCCTCTCGTATCTCTGTCGTCTATTATCTCAAGTCAAGAGTAATCTCTCGCGCGGAACAAGTGGTCAGTAGCAGGTGGCGATCAACGACCGACTCCGCCGTGACAACTTGACCTCCAGCCATACCCACCCGACATCTTCGCTGACTGGAAGAAATATAGGGCCTCACAGCGAATAAAGGCGACGATTTTGAGACGAATTGGGCCGACCTCTCGACCTCGTTGAAGAAGATCCACACCAAAGATGCCTCCAACCTCTCTTTCGAGCAACTGTATCGCAACTCCTATAATATCGTCCTGATGATGCGCGGGGAGGACCTCTACGAACGAATCAAGAAATTGGAACAAGACTGGCTCGACGATGAGGTCAAGACCCGGGTGACGGCGGCAATCTCGTCCAGCCTGCTGCTCGCGAAAGAGCTTGCGGAGGTGCAAGATCAGGCCAATGAGCGTCGGGAGGCCGGGGAGAGGTTTCTGGCCGCCATGAGGGAGGCCTTTGAGGACCATCAGCTGTGCATGGGTATGATCACGGACGTGCTCATGTATATGGTATGTTTCAAATATTGAGATCGGACGGAAGGCTTGACTATTGGTAGCTGACCTTTCTGGGCTCTAGGATCGAGTCATGTCGACCGACCACCGCAAGCCGTCGATTTACGCGGCAGCCATGGCACTATTCCGAGACCATGTATTACGGTCGCCGATCCGATCGGATGCCAAGACGACGGTAGTGGATGTGCTCGAGTCGACCATCCTTTTCATGATCCAGCTCGAACGGTCCGGGCAGATCATCGACCGCCCATTGATCAGCCATTGCGTCACCATGCTGGAAGGACTATACGAGACAATCACCGAGGAGGAGTCGTCGAAGCTCTACCTGACCTTATTCGAGCCGGCGTTCCTGGACGCAAGCAAAAGGTTTTACCAGGCGGAAGGACGACGCTTGCTGGAGACGGGCGATGCCGCGACATTCTGTAAGGTTGCCACAGACCGCCTCGCCGAAGAGACGGAGCGGTGCATGTACACCCTCGCATCATCCACCGCGCCGAAGATCAAGGAGGTTCTGGATCGAGAACTGATCAAGAATAATATCGCGGAAGTGGTCAATCTAGAAGGCACGGGGGTCCGGCAGATGCTCGACAATGATCGCCTGGATAGCTTGCGGAGTATCTATGTGCTGAGCGCACGAGTCGATCCGAAGAAGTCCCCTCTCACAACGGCGGTCCAGAAGCGCATCGTGGAAATGGGCAAGGAGATCAACGCTGGGGCAGTCGAATTGGCACAAACACCGGCAGAGCCTAAGAAACCGGCAGACAAGGGCGAAAAAGCAAAGAAGCCGGCCGAGAAGGAGAAACCGGTCAACCAGCAGACGGCTGCCGCTATCAAATGGGTGGACGACATTCTGGGTTTGAAGAAGAAGTTCGATAACATCTGGGAGGACTCGTTCCAATCGGACCATGTCATGCAGAGTGCGATTACTACCAGTTTCTCGGAATTCATCAACTCGGAATCGCGCAGCTCGGAGTACCTGTCTCTGTTCTTCGATGAGAATCTGAAGAAGGGCATCAAGGGGAAAACAGAAACAGAGGTTGATTCGTTGCTGGACAACGGCATCACGCTGCTTCGCTATGTCAAAGACAAAGACATGTTCGAGGCGTACTACAAGAAACATCTTTCCCGTCGTCTGCTCATGAAGCGCTCGGTAAGCATGGACGCGGAGCGGCAGATGATCTCGAAGATGAAATTGGAGGTTGGCAATCAGTTCACACAGCGCTTGGAAGCGATGTTCAAGGACATGACGATCTCGGAGGATCTGACGGCCAGCTACAAAGAGCACGCCAAGAAGACTGGTGACCCCAACACGAAGCGCATCGACCTGGACATCAACGTCCTCACTAGCACTATGTGGCCCATGGAGATCATGGCCAGTGCCACCCGTGATAACGTGCAACTGGGCTGCATCTACCCGAAAGAAGTAGAGAGCGTCAAACAGAGCTTCGAGCAGTATTACTTGGGCAAACACAGCGGGCGCAAGCTCTCATGGCAGCCCACCATGGGCACTGCGGACATCCGTCTAGAGTTCCCGCGATCGAACGGCAAGATTCAAAGACACGAGCTCAACGTTTCCACATACGCCATGGTCATCTTGCTTTTGTTTAACGATGTGCCCACGGGCGAATTCTTGACCTACACCGATATCAAAGAGCGCACGCGGATTACCGACCATGACCTCATTCGCAACCTGCAAGCACTTGCGGTGGCGCAGAAGACCCGGGTCCTGCGCAAAGAGCCGATGAGCAGAGATGTCAAACCCACGGACAAGTTCTTCTTCAACAACGACTTCCAGAGCCCATTCTTGAAGGTCCGCATCGGCGTCGTGAGCGGCAGTGCCAACAAGGTCGAGAGTCAGGATCAGCGGAAGGAGACGGAGAAGAAGATGAGCGAAGAGCGTGGCGCCAGCATCGAGGCCGCTATTGTGCGGATCATGAAGTAAGTTTGCACTGCATCGCAAGCCATTATTCCATCAAGGTGGTGCTAATCTTCTGGGACAGGCAACGCAAATCCTTAACCCATTCCAAACTCATGACGGAAGTCCTGAGTCAGCTGTCTGCGCGGTTTGTGCCCGATGTCAACATGATCAAGAAGCGCATCGAGAGCTTGATTGACCGCGAGTATTTGGAGCGTGTTGAGGAAGATCCTCCCACGTACGGATACGTCGCATGATTGGAATGATCTTTGAATGTTGGTTTTTTTTTTCTTCTTGTGGGTTTTAGTTATCGCCATCGAAGCGAATTGAGAGCAGGGAACGAAATGGGTCTTGAGCTTAGCGTTGAGGGCGCAAAGGCGAACCATATAGACTTTTTTCTGTCTTGTTGCATTTCCACCGGCAGGGGGTTCTGCTTTTGTTTAATGCATTTTCTGGGTTTGGTTTGAAGGTTGTAGGCGTGGTGGGATTGAGCCTGAGCCTGAGCCTGAGCCTGAGCCTGAGCCTGAGCCTGAGCCTGAGCCTGAGCCTTAGGAATTGTTCAGTCCAAGAATGGTCAGACATATGAAATGAAGTCTGTCACTTGTGCAGTGCAGTATACACTGTCGTATGCAGTAAATGTAGAAGCGATGTATGCAGTAGGTATCATCGGGAAACATAACAACAATCAACGAAAAGAAGCTCGCAACGCCACCATGCACCATGCACCATGCAACCATGCACATTGGTATACAACCATGTCCCGAGCCCGAACCTTGCCAACAGTCCAACATAACATACAAAGAAGCTCATCCTGACCTCCTCCTTGGCCCCATCTCACATCCCCAGCCTCAGAACCCAAGACTAAAGAACCTCCACCTCGCCCCTGCGCCACGCATCCCTGACCCCCTCCCACCTGACCGCCCAAACATCCCCCATCCGCATCGCCGTGCCGCCCACCACCTCCTCCTCGACCCCATCCCCCGGCGGCACCACCACCCGCACCTCCTCCACCAAACACCGCACAAACACCACCTCCCGCACCTCCGGCCCCTGCACCATACTCGTCCCGCCGGCGTTATCATCCAACCGGCGCAGCTGCGGCGGGAACGACCCCAGGAACGCGTCCCCGTAGTGCTTGGCCAGGAGGTGCTGATGCGCGACCAGGAACCTCACCTCGGGGGCCGAGAGAGGCGGGTGCGGGGCTTCTTGGCCCACGGTGGGGATGGAGTCCTCGGGGCGGAGGTCGTGCTCTGCCGTTTGGGATTGCGATTGGGTTTGTTGGGTGGTGGGCGGCGAGATGCGGAGGAGGTAGTGCATGCTGTGTTTTGTGAGTTTGGAGAGACGCTGCCGGAGGAGGCTGCGGAGGGTGTATTGGGTGCGGGAGAGGTCGGTTTGGAGAATTGAGAGGGTGAGGTTTATTGTGGTGTTGGTGTTGGTGGTGGTGGTTTGGAGGTTTGTGGTGGTGCTGGTGCTGGGGAGGGGGTCGGCGGAGGTTGCGGCTAGGTCTTCGATTGTTTCGATCTGGAATTTGGTATTGTCAATGGGGTTGTATACTGGATACAGGACTAAGACTGAGTCTGGTGGGGGACGGGGAGTGCGAAGGCAGAATAGGTACCTGTCGTCGAACGCGGTCCATCATGCGGTCCATCAAGGGCCCCGGCCAGGGAAGCAGCTCCGAGACGCCGCGCTCGGCCACCCAGAACCGCGTCAGCAATTGGTGGTCCAGCGCCGTGGACTCCGGGGTGGTCGGGTCGTGGCGGTCCACGGAGGCGAGAATGTCGTCGATGTCCATGGCGGTCGGTGCATTGACTCTCCGCTGAGGGTCGTTGGTGTCAAATGGTTGAATCGTGACTAATTATGGGCAGGAGCAGAAGAAAGAGAGGGGCGGAGCGGAGGCGGAATCTCCGAGTCAAAGAGATCACCGCCCCGCTTGTGGATGCCTCAGGCTATAGTTCCACCCTAGTACTCAGTAAAGGCCCCGAGTGATCACCATGGTACTCAGGGATCTACTCTCTCTACTCTATCTACTCCGTACGACTCAAAAATAATGTAGAAGTAATTCGTTTCTTCATTCCAACAAAGGAAATCTGTCTCTAATCTTCAACTCCCCCCTCCATTAATGGCCGGGCCAATAGCCGACCAACGCTTCATCTATGTACAGCTGCACTGGCAGCCTCCGTCAATCACTTATTAGTCTGACTCCGAATGCTTCATCCAAACCAAGTCAGCGCCGTGTCGACGAGGCCGCCGCGCACAACAAATATTATCGTCTGGCAAGACGAGCCGTACATCGATATATACTTCGTACGGCGAGCAGTGTGACACTCCCTCGGGATTGTACAGGGAACCGGGAGGATGATTAAAGACGGTAAAGGAAAATAGGAGAAAAGTCTTCGAAAAGGAAATTGCCGGACGGCGAGGTATCATCGGTGGAGGGAAGTCCCTCGGATGCAGATAAGATTCATCCTGAGGGTGCCTCGTTCAAAACAAACATAGGAAAAGGTCCGAAGGGAGTGATCAGTGAGAGGGATGTCGGTTCAAATAAGTCGTGATTGGGAGGTATTCTGTGTCGTGTTCGAGGGTAAAATTATCACTGTAGGTATGAGAACGAACCGAGTAAGGAAGGTCGAAGCTTGGGGTGTCATCAAAAGTGCCGAATCCAATTTCTTCTTCACCACATCATCCCAAGGAAATAGGAAAGAAACCGAGAATCAAAATGAGCGGAACGGGCTGGTCAGGTGAGACGCTGCCTTTCCCAAGGTCCAATGCGTCTCCCTCCAAAGCCCAAGGATGCAAACCCTTTTGCGCCAAAACTCGCAAATGCACACGTTCAGCCGATTGACCTGCACTGGCCATTTTTAGGAAACGCTGAAGGGCAGAAGAAAAGAGCCAGGTGCAAAAGAAAGGCCATCAGGTGGTCGCAGCGTGGCTTGTTCCAAGTCGGTCATAACATCATTGCGTGGTGCACGGTGCACTGCACCAAGGTTTCGTAACTTTAGTAAGAGAGCATCCGACGGCCGGAGAGTCGACTGGATGCGGGGCTTTCGGCAAACGGGGATCCCAAAAATCGGTTTCGCTCCCCGAGGCCATTGCGACACCGTCCGGTCGGGCTGTCTTCCATTTGAGGCGAATTCTCCCCGAACGCAAAAGTCTGAGCCCGATTCAACTTGGACCGTTGCTTCACCTTGCCGAGGCCTCGCTCGCAAGCGAATTCGTGCTCCTTGGCAGACATCTCGACATAGTTCTGCGGGTAGCACAGCGAGCGGTGCTTGGAGAAGAAGGAACTGTAACCACCGTCCAGGACATACAGATCGGGGTAGGTGAGTTGCGGGTAGTGGTCCGCGTTGAAAGCGCGATCCTGGTGACGAATGTACTTGGCCATAATCGGGGCGCGATGGGCCGAGTATTCGCAGTGGAGGATCAAGGCCGTCCGCGGCTTGGGTGCGGTGAAGAGCTCGGCGGCCAAGTGGTCCTTGTCGTTGTAGTTGACAGCGCCATTGATATGGCCTCCCTCGTACTCATATTCAAAGCGGCAGTCGATGATCATCACGTTGTCAAAACGATCGTTGTATTTCCCATCCAAGAGCTCCACCAGGATGTTTTTGTCGATACGAGGCAATGTATCTGCCTGGTCCTCCGAAAAGACGTGAGGAAGCTGCAGGCTGGGGGATCCTTCAATGTCGATGATCGACGGGAGTGGTGCATTTGTAACTAAAGTTGCCTCTTTTTCGACGACTACATCCTCGGGATGCTCAAACATGCTCAACGAACGTCTACACTGCTTGCGTGGGCGCATCGTGGGGTGTGAATTCTTGCGGACTGACGCCGCGGACGGGGATCCATTTCCCCGCACGTGGCTGTTGCTACTGCCAAATGGTGGTTTGAGACGAGAGCTGCTCAACAGATTGCCGGTCGAGTGGTTCTTCAACGACGGACGTTCTCTTTGGGGTGACTCGCAAAACAGATCCTCCAACGATGCAGATGCGCTGAGCGACGTCCTGTTTCCCCGGCTCTGAAACTTGAACGGCGGGGCTTGACTCTCTGGGGCCGGCTTGTTCATTCCTAGTTGGAAACTCTGTGCTTTGCTCCGTGCTAGACTCGGTCGTAGAAATGTTGGACGCTTTCTCCTACAGATAACCATGTGATTAGATCCACGCAGGCCTACAATGACTCCAGTCTTGGGCTGCCTCTCTTACTCTTGTAGACCGTCTTTCGAGTTCACCAGCGGTGACTCTTCCAACGGGCTCGGGGCGGCCGAGATCATAGGTGTATCCATCGAAGAATCTAGAGAGGGCGATTCCAGCTCGACTTCGTTGACCAGCCCGAATGCTGGCTTGTGCGGCAAGGGAGACATTTCCATAGCGTCCATCATGGGCGCTGGCGAGGAGGGAAGCGGTGGTGTGGTCATTGACTCTATCGAATCGAGAAAAAAAGAATTGTGAGCTGATAGCACATTTTAAACACATGGAGTGAGTATCACTTACCACACCGATTGGCTTTTCCCAGCAGGCTGGAGGAGAACAAAGACCGCCGGGGCGTGGCCAATTGCGGACTATTTTTGGTCAGCGAACCCTTTGTCCATGAACACACACACATATGGCCTAACAAAGACCAACGACATGCGACAAACCTTTGATCAATATGAAAATTTTGAGAGAGGTCGGCCGCAAGACTCGCAGTTGGTGATGAGCCCCGCACAGGTTTCACATTGAAGTAGTCCCCATGGGCCTTCTTCATGGACAGTTCCTTAAAATTGAAGGTGCTATGTGCCAATCCAGCCATGGGACTGAAGGACGCATAGGCTGTCGAGGCATCGGGACGAAAGCAATGGCCGAACATCACAGACGGCGGCTGCATTGCAGCCAACGGGGACGAGTGTTCCATTGTAGCCGGCCCAGGTTCCTTGTAGTTCTTCCTTGCCGATCATTCACACGCACGGATTGGGTCCAAGTCGATCACTAGTCGTCACAGCGCGGCGAGTGTCTCTCCCCCTTGTATGCAATGCACGGCAGATGCGGGGACAATGGGAGCCGATCTAGATTGACCACCACGGAGCTCCTCTTTTTCCCCCTTCGTTTCCCAACTGTCAAAGTGGGAGATCCAACCTCGGAAATCGTGGTACCGGCTTTTGTATGTTGTTTCAGCTAACCAGCCTGTACCCAGACTTCTCTCGCAGACGGGGGACAAGCGTTTAAAGCGACATGGCTGGCTGACGGGAACTAGATCAAGGTGCTTTCGGATAGGATATAGGTTGAAACAGGAAGTAGGCCGGACGGGAGGAAGGGCTAAAGATACGACAGGATCAAGTCAGCAATAGTCGAGAGATCTCAGCCAGTACCAGGGAGGAGGTGGGTGGTGAATGAAGAGGGGGGGGATTGGCAGCATAGATATGGTACGCTAATGCACTGGGAGGGAAAGGTTACCGAAGGGACGAGGGCTGAAGACGGGATCGGACCTGAAGCATGAGAATGCAATGCAACGGAAGGGCAGAGGCTCTTATGAAGAAGGAAGAGAGCTGTCTGGGGTAGAGAAGGAAGAGAAGGAGAAGAAGAAGAGAAGAAGAAAAAAGACAATGGAGAAAGTGAAGCTGAAGGGATGCCCTTGTTGCAATGGCAACGCAAAAGTGGGGAGGGATCTCCAGATACTCGAGAAAGAGCTTAAGCGACGATGGGTTTAGTGCTTCCTGGGCTGGGCTGGGCTGGGTTTTGGTTTGGGGCTTTTGGTTGTGTCAGAAACGACTACGGAGGAGTAGTTACAGTAAGTAACTGGTAGTACTGGTACCTAGTATAGCAGTTACATAGTAAGGTAGGTTTAGTACTAGTCACTAATCTAGGTAACTGACCTAGTAACTGACCTAGGTCACTAAGGCTAAATGGTCGAACCGGTTTGGGGGTGGTCGAAGACCAATCCATGATTGAATAGTGAATGAATGAATGAATGAATGACCGCATAAGGCCCCAGGCCTTGGTTCGACAACGAGTAGTTCCCTTTCTTCCCTTTCTTCCAATCTACTATGCTTCCATCCTTTCGATTCTTCCCCTTCTTTCATGAAACTAGTTTTCTAGTCCTTCCAGGTTGCCCTGCTGTGGGGGGGTAATTCCCTGTGCCCTTAACTTATAGCAATTGACTTCATACTACTGACCTGACACCTGTAGGTACCAGTTCGGGGCAAAAAAGAAGATCCATCCAATAATCATTTCTGCAATATTTGAATTTTTGCATTTGACATTTTCTTTTTCTTTTCCCCTTTCGAATTTTTTGATGAGCAGAAAATTTCTCCATCTGGATCTGGATTTTGCCTACCGGTACGTACAGTTGCTGGGGAATTAGGTCATGTACTCGTACAGTACAGATGTATGTATAGTAAGTAAGAGAGTTCGGTAGGTACCCGTACAGTACTTGAGTAGTACTTATTCATACTCATCCTCGTTGCCGGGACTCCCTTGCCGCCATTATAAACGCTAGCCGCTGCTCAGCAACCCCCCGCCTATCAGCGTTCTTACACTCCCTTTTTCGCTGGCCGATGCATGGATCGTGCCTGTCTCATCACCGAACAGTCGTCCAGAGAGGAAGAGGACAAGAGGGCCCATGTCGGAGACCACACCTCCAAAGACCACACAGAATTGAGGTGTCTCCATCTGTCCCCTCTTGTGGACTTTGGCGGACTCTTCTTTCCTTTTTCTTTCCGCCTTCTTTGCTTTCTATTACTAACACCACACTGGGTCGCCCCGGTGGTATTCTCAATTTTTTTCTGACAGGTTTCATCTGTGTAACAGTCGCACTACAATTGCTGTAGAAACCGTTGTCCATGTTTGACATTTGCCCAGTAGTACCAGCAGCACCAGCAGCACCAGCAGCGCTATCAGCACAGCACTGCACTAGAACCTAGAACCTGCGGTCTTCAATCCGACCGGACCAGTGACCAGCTGCCTCTTTCGGGGATCATCGGTCATCCTGTCGTCGCACTGGTATGGAGGAGGGTTCTATTCTACTTTTAGCTCGACTCGGTGTCGCTTGCTCGCTTCATTCTCCTAGCATAGGCCATATCTGTCTATCACTTTGAAGGAGGCTCTATATCCATCTCTATCCACTACTAAGGTTTTTCAGGACCCAGATACCTCGACGATACAGTTAGTCTACGGAGTCCTTATCCCTTAACTAGTCTCGAAACTCGATTTAGATGAGGGGGCAGAGGGCTTTCTCGTTGACGAACCCACCAGTAAGACGACATGTGGCCTGAGGATAATTTTTGCATTGGATCAATAAATTTTGTTCCCGTGTGTGCCGTTCGAGTTTTTTATGGATTTTTTTTTTAATTCCTATATACATCATTCTCATGAACCCCAAAAGAGAAGATCGAATCTAATAAAATTCTCCACCGGGGTCCACTCGGTCGGAAAAAAGAGCTTGTCCGGCCGGTATCTTCTCAGGAACGAGTGCCTTCGATTGGAAGCTGTGGAAAACCGAGAACGCTGTCATTCATAGGTAAGGTGTCGACCGTTTTTCTTTTTTTTTTCTTGACTCTCTCTCTGTCTCTTCCTCTCCCTTTCCCTCTTCTTGGCTCTACAATTCAAGTTTCGAACAATTCCATTCATTCCTGCCGGTGGAACAGGGCAAAGGCCGAATGAAGCCTTGGGGAATCTTCTTCCTCTCCAGATTGCTGTCGATCCTGCATACCTACTTAGCCGGACTACTACGTGGTTGCTAACTTGCTACTCTTCGTTAGCTCATTACTGTCGTCCGGTCGGGAAGCCAGAGGAACGGGTTCTATTCCCCATTCGGAAGTTCCTGCCTCAGGAAGAACATCGGCCGAACATACCAGGCGCTTAATTCTTCGATGGCTGAACCTGAAGAATAGCTGGTAAGTTAGCTGGTAGCTTCTACCATCATTTCTCTCCTTGAGTGAGACAGCAACCTTGTACCGATCGGCATTGTAGATTTACTTTTGGCAAAATTCCTGTCTACCTTGTCTATCTTCCAGGCTCATTACCATCCGCCGATTTTCCCCGTTATCTCGGTCACTCGACAATGGGAAGCCGCCCTTCAAGCGAGGTATGTACAGTACTGTCTACTAGGTATGTATTAGGCGAACCGCTTGATCTACCCTACGACTCAACCATCTACGGTACCTTTGCCCGGTTCCTGGTGCACAGTCGTTCGACGCTTTGATCAAGCTACTGGGCTAACAAAATTTTTCCAAGCGATGACGATGGCTGAGTGCCCAGTGGTCGGACGAAAAGTTGTCTAGAAATACCGTGCTCGCCCGCGCACTGTTCGCATGGCGGACCGTTCACCAGACACGCGCCCAAACCCTTAACTTATTTGTCTCGACTCTCGACATTCCCGCCGATCATGGCCAAGGGTGGTCTTTTCCCTTCGGCTGCGAGCATGCGCTGCTCTCGGATGCCCAGAACTGATTCAGTGGTTTAATCTATCGTCGGCTCGATTTCTCCAGTTGATCTTACAAATCTTATCATTATCGCAGATAATGGGCAAGAATCCCCGAGCCGGGTCAGGCCCCATCTCAGCTGAACGAACTTGAGCTGGTCTGACAGCCCAGCTCTAGCACGCTTGCCTGGTGTGGGGTTAGCCAATTTCCCCCAAGCTGATGCCGCAAGCTTGCCCATTGTACCCGAGGTTCTGACGACGTCACCGACAAGTCTATTTCTTCCTCCGCCGGACGGGTCACAACCATGAGAGTCTGGAAATCCGCCATCTTCACGGTTGTTTCGGCAGAGGGAGAGAACTTCTGTCCCATGGTCTCCGCTCTTCTGGGTCTACTTCTCCCGGAGTCAATAAATCGTGCATCAGATCGTCACGATGAGGGCACAGAGGCTAACAGCTGCCCCTCTCTCACCCCCCGTGGGCGCCGAAATCCGCAATTGCCCAATCAACCCCTCTCAGGATTGCGATTTGATTTTTAGCCTCTAATTGTTACTATTTACACCGCCACAAATGGTGAGATCGGTAAGCTCGTATGCACAGCGATCACACCTGGTGGCCCCCCTCCTGTGGCCTTCAGATCCTTTCCCACGCCCAAGCCCCTCATCTCTGAGACACCGGTCGGCCCCCGTGCAAATCCCTTCTCGCATCGGAGGGGTTAGCGTTGGAGCTCATGAGGGTCCAGAATTGAGCCATGTTCTAATCACAATCTCGGTGCTAGGAGGCCTAACCGGACTTGCGGCTCAAGGGTCGGCCTTATCCGCCAGCAGGAGCGCTAGCCCCCAATAATGACTATTATCTTATGCCTCGCGTCGCAACACTGCGGTGCGAGTGGTAGGTGTCGGCGGATACGCCAGCCCGTCAATCCATAAGCTTCCGAGCTCTTGTCGAAAGGTCAGCTCGGCGCCGTGCGGCTGAGTCGTCGATTCGCCGACCAGCCGCGTTGGACATTGCTATGGGCGGAAATTCGCGCGACGGTGAGCCGTCCTGGCAAACTAGTGCTCATACCTCGGATGGGTTGGTGGGGTCGCTGACAAGGATGGCTGACTCGAGACGCTGTGCCGCAGTGTCATGGCCATGTGCGTGTTGTTAGCAGGGTTAGCAGGGTTAGCCGGGTTAGCAGGCAGTTATCTGTCGGGCAGGCCGCCCAGACACCCTGGAGGACCGAGCACCAGCATCGGGCGCACTCAAAAAGCACCACAGAACGTAAACCTACTAGCTCATTCAGCCGGCCAGCCAGTGAGCAGCCTTGGCGGGTCAGCAAGAATTTGGATTGTATGAAGGAAGCGCTGGTGCGGGGGGGCATTCTGTTCTAGATGGAGACCGATCTTCTCACTGATTGGACCAGCAGTGCAGCCCTAGTGCTCGTGCTCCAGCGTGACTGTCTGCAACTTTATTTAGCTACGGCGCGTCGCGAGTGAGTGATGTCGTCGATGGTCTTGCAGTGACCAGTGACGGACTGGTGTGCTCCCAACCGGTTTCGCCAGTCGTGATGTCAGTGAGGGGGAGAAAGTCAGTTCTGTCCCTCACCTGCAGGAGTGGTCGATTGCTTTATCCCCGCCAATGCCAATGTACGATGTATGTATGTGTTGGCTGGCCTGAGGAAGTCAGTCGGTCTACGATCCGTATGTATAGCTGCCCCATTGTTTATCCTTCTGGTTCCGCGTTTCGCGTGTTTGCAATGTAAACATAAACATCGAAGGGATACAATGAGCCATGGTACCCTGAAGGTACCCCGACAACTGACTGACACTTGACAGTCAGTGAGTGACGCGACCGGCAAACGCCATCCCGTGACTGTTGCCTGAGGTTTCCACTGTTCGCGAGGGATGCTTGGTATGACATCACATTTCCCCAGCCTCCCTTCTTTCCTCTGCTTGTCTGCTTGTCCCCTCCGGTCCAGTTATCCCTCTCTCCCTCTCTCTCTCTCCCTCTCTCTCCCTCTTCTCCTTCGTCCTCACCTTGCCTGCCTTGCGTGTTATCTTTTCCTTGCCGTTCCCATGACATAATACGGCGTACGGTAATAACGATCCCGACGCGTCTATTCCCCACCTTCTCCTATGAAGCTTAATCTATCTCTCGCTTCCACTCCCAGATGACGATATAGCGTACCTACCTTGAAAGTATCCAATCTTGCGATTCCATCTCCGATACGATCGTGGGAGCGATTGGAGCGATTGATCTGCAAAACAATTCAAGACAGAACAAAACAAAACAAAACAACAATACCGTTCTCTTTAATCAGTCAATTAACAACGGTGACGTACTGTAGTCGCGTCTCTACCGAGTCCAGACTTGTCTGCTTCATTTCTCCGGGCCACTTCTCAGCCGTGGACCACACGCGTGCCCCAAGACCTCATCTCACCATGCCCACCTTTTTTAACCGGCTTAGAGTTTGCCACCGGAGCCCGATTCCTCTTCTAGTGCCCGGGCTAAAATGTCCATATGGGTCACACCCAGTGCCGGTTTTACCGTAGGGCCAGAAAAGCCGCCAGATGTTGGGGGCAAGGCTCCATCACGCTACATACAGTACACCCTCACTTCTTCTACACAGTACTTGGACAGGCTCCAAAAGTGTCGCTTACCCTAAAGGGGAAACCCCCTTCCATGCACAGCGGAAGACTAAGTAAAGCTTATGTGAACAAGAGACGATTATGCAGGTATGCACCTCTCCATCCCTTCTATCCCTTGTTTAGAGATCTACTGGTAAAACGCTTCTGGATGTTGGCACCACGAGTGTGGGCATGCACAGATCTCTCTCATGTCTGATTTCTTGCTCCCGGTGATGCAAGTTAATCAAGGTTCCTACTACCGAACAATCAATTGAACTCAATCTGATAGGGAGTTATCGAAGAAGCTTCAACGTTCAATAGCATTGCCACTATTGGGTCTGCAGGGACCCCTCCCCCTGCCCCCCTTTCTTGCAACCCTCGTGGGACCCCCCAACTTGCTGCTCCTCGCAATAATCAAGCTAAAACAATCTATATGCAAGTCTATCTATCTCTCACTGCCCCTCTTCCCCTCCCCTTTGGTCCACTTTCCATGGTTTTCGACTATTGGTCCAAGATCTTCGCTGCACCCCATGTCGTGGGGAGAGAGGGGAGGAAGAGGGGAGATACAGATCGGTAGATCGATCAAGATAATCGCCAACGCCACCCGCAAGTCTATTCCCTGTGTTGGCTCACTTCAGTGCAAGCCAACCGATATCGAGGAATGGATTATCCCTCTTTCTCCCGAAGGAAAAACTCCGCAAGGGCACGTACCCACCGTATCAATCAATGCACCGCACCTACCCCTTCTTTCCCTTTTGTCGTCCAATACCCCTGCAACAATTTTCAAGATAGGGTCTGAAACCCTAAGCTGTAGTTATCAATATACCTGCATGAAATCCTCCGCAGTAAGCCCCAGGTTTCCCACCTGCAGCTTGGGCAGGGGGATGATGCCAGGCACTACATCGACTTAAACATGCATGTAAGTGCTGCAGTTAAGCGTAACCCTCCAGTCTGCTCCTTGCTTGTATTTGCCTGGTGCTAGTATGTATTTAGCGCGGGACCGTCTGTTTCTATGTATGTACTGTACAGTATACTTCCATGGTAGTCGAGCGAGGCAAGCATTCAGTCCATCGACTCAGAATGAACAGAACTTCGCTGCTGTCTCCACGGTAGAGTGTACACAAGGAGGGGCCAGTGACCCCTCTCACTATCGTCGAGTAGGGCTTATTATTGTAGGTGGCGAGATGATGTTTCGCGAGCTCGAACACCCACCATATTTCGAAAGTGCGGGTTGATATTTGACGATACACACTTTGACTTAATTAAATAATATACCATTTAGAACCGTGACAAGATGACCCATAGTCTGAAACTGTCGCCCATGAAATGCACAAGTACTCAAACCGCATCAATTCCGACCTCCAACCTAGGTAGTATCCCCAAGAACAGCCAGCCCGGAAGCATGCATATGCATGCAAAGCAATCAAAGCGATAGCTTCCCAAACCCATATAGTCCCAAGTAGCAACTATACTAACCGTCCGGAAATCCAACACACCTACCCTCCTACGTCGTAATCTCACATCGCATTCCAAAGGACCGACCCGTCGTCAGCCCAAGAATGCCCAACCCAGCCAACCGCGCAGCCTCAACGGTATTGTAAAGTACAGCCAGTGAGTACGTTCGTAGTCCCTCATCTCGCCTACTGGGTCCTTCCATTCCCCAGCTACCTGCATAGTGCAGAGTACCTAGTAGCCAAGGAAGCAATCGATCCTCGCATTCCATTCCCCCCCTTCCCTGGATCAAGTCCCGAGCAAGCCATTGCCGGCGCTACCTGTACCTGCGCCTGTGCTGTGCCATACCCCCACGCATCCATCCCTCCCTCCCTTGCCTGCCTGCCTCCGGATAGGCCAGGCTCGCACTCCATAAACCCCTGCACTGCACTGGATGAGTACTCCCGCGTGGGCGTTCCGTCATTCAACATTCTTGGGCCGAGGAACAGGGATCCGTGTGTCGATCTGGGGTCCTCTAAAAAGAAAAGAGAGATGGGTGTTTTCGGTACCTGGGTGGATGTGGGTGGTAGGTCAGGGGAGGTTTTATTTGGTATTAGTTATTGGGTGTACTTTGTATTCAGTGGTGCCGTGATAAGGTAGGTGGATTCTTGGAACCTGGGGGTTCGCCGTGTTAGCGGTCGGATTTAGGGAGTTGGTTCCAGGGTGGTGGATTTTGGTTCGAGGGGAGGGGGGGGGGGGGGTTTTGGGCTGGGGTTTTGTTGGGGAGGGTTGGTTGGGTCGGTATGTGCTGGACTGTACATACCTCAGATATAGGGGGCTCGCTTGGGTGGGAGGGATTTGGTGGTGAGGGACTAGGTTTTGTTTATAGAGGTTGACTCGGGTTTTGTGTTCTTTCCAAGGAGAGTGGGTGAGTAGTGACTTGGAAGAGATTGGTCCTGTATATACATGATTGCATGTTGTGGTTCTGCTTGGCGGGCATGTTGTTTAGTATACTGTTGTCATGACAGTTCGAGATCGATGCATAACCACAGCGCAACTCATTTCTTGGTTGGTTGGGGTATGTGGTTGGATCACTGATTCTCAGGTACAATAGCTTATGATATGAGTGATTACTACCGACACAAAGAGCTGTGGAACTGGTCCTAGATACGACGGACAGATATACACTACCAAGTGCCTGTTTGGCCTGCTGCACATCGAACCCAGACACTCTTTCGTATGCGGTTTAGATTTCCTTCCTCTCGCCAGCCCAGAGACCGCCGTGGCCTCGTTCGCCAACTGTCTTTCATTCCCCCTTGATAACCAGGATGCTGGTTTTAGATGTGTCTTGGCCTAGGGCATGGACTGAGTAGCTAGCTGGTAGGGTGGCTTTGGTCTCGTAGGGGATGTGGTTTGTTCTCTCGGGGGTGCGGAAGTGCATGAACTGTACATGACTGGTTTGGCAAGGGCAGGGTTCTTATAGTCGGTGTTTTTGTTCGGGCCCTGGTTACATGCAACCATCGCTGCATGCCCATCGTGCTTCATGTTGTCTGCTCAGTATAATGTTGCGACGCGCTGTTCGCCAAACCACTCCCGCTGGAGGTGAATTGATAAATGAAGAGGACGAGGCTGTCTTCGCACATTAGATGCAGATGTATGTGACTGACCATATTAGAGAATATGGACTAGTGGTTACGCGCGTGGTCGCGGTAGTAGGCAAGTCAAAGTATGTACCACAATGAAAATAATATAGGATTCTATGGCGGTCTTGAGTAAGTATGAGTCAGTGATGAATCGCTATCGCATATACCGCACCAACAACAAAGGGATTCACAAAGAAGGGGCAGCCAGATGAACAATCCTCAGAATCCATCTATCACGCCGCTGTGTCGAGCTCAAACAAGTACGAGATATCCAGGGAGTCTGCGCCCCAATCGACCACACCGCACCGAATCTGCTTCTTTTGCTTCCACCGAGTGGTGTTCCCCATGCACACATCACATCGTTCATGATCCGGCGCTCCGAGGTGAGCAAAGTAATCCAGCGCCGCCTCGTTCTTGCTACAGACCGCATAATGCGCGGGCGGATTGCCTGCGTCATCCAGAAGCCATGGGTTCGCCCCGGCTTCTACCAGCAGCCGTATGCATCGGAAGTTCTCTCCGCGTGCGGCCCAGTGTAGTGCTGTCATCGCCTCCGAGTTGCCAGCGTTGACGTCGAATGATCCCCGCGACAACTCTAGTGCTGTGACTCCATCTGCTGATGCTCCCACCGTGTCGTCAAGAACGGATCGCGGCTCCCCTCTCATAAGAGATAAAAGCAGTTCCACTATGTCGGCAGCGCCTTTTCTAGCTGCGAAGTGTAGATAGCTATTCCCCTCATTGTTGAGTTTGTGCAGAGCCTTGCTGGCATGGATCATCTTCTGGATGATTTCGATATACTCTCCCCGGTTGCTGCAATCATTCACCAGACGCAGCATGATATGAATCGGCGTATCGCCGCTTCCGTGCTCTGCGATGTCGACGTCTGCGCCCGCATTGACCAAAGATAGAATTAGTTTATGAAACCTACGATGCATATATGCCCCACTGGATGCGACGTGGAGGATTGTGCGCTCCGAGTCAAAGGGGGCGGATAGATCCACCGCAGCTCTGCCGGTGCTGACCAGTTCTATGATCCGAGTGACTGCTTGCCATCCAAACTCGGTCGAGAGCCGCGACCAGAGTGAATCCAGGGACAGTCGGGGCTGCAAGCGATGCTCCGGCCAGAACGCCGGGCCTCGACGGAGAAGCAATTGAAACACGTCCTCCGGGCCGTCTAGTGCTCGGTCGATGGCACTTTTGCCATAGACATCCACGGCCAGAAGATCGCTATCGGAGTCGAGAAGTAGCTCAATCAAAGATATACACCCGCAGGCAACGGCGTTGTGGAATGGAGTGACGCCCCGGAGATTAGGGGCGAGGATGTCACTGCGCGATTCTGCCCCCGCCTCTAAGAGAAGCTTCACAACTTCCGTATGCCCTTGTTTACAAGCCAGGTTCAAAGCTGTATCGCCGGTGGAGGTCCTCCCGAAAGGGTCGGCATGGTGAGCAAGCAAGTACTCCACGATGGGGATGTATCCCTGCCAAGAGGCTAAGTGCAACACGGTATAGCCCTGCGCGCCGGGCGTGTTGATGTCGCCCTTAGCGCGGGTGATACTAGAGATGAAAATCCTTGAAAAGTCTGTCAGGCCGTGAATGACGACCATTTCAAATGGAGACGCCCCATCAGCGTGACTTGTGAAAACGTCCGCACCCAGCGTGAGCAAGTGCCCCGTTACGTCTAGATGACCCCCACGGACCGCCATATGCAATGGTGTCTGACAGTATCGATCGACTGCATTGATATCTGCCCCAAGGTCTGATAAAGCTTGAACGACATCAAGGTGACCCTGATACGCCGCTAGATGCAGAGGAATGACTCCATCCTCGTTCTTTGCGTTGACGTCCGCTCCTTGGCGAATAATGATGTCAAGCAGGTGCAAATTACCTGCCCCTGCAAAGTGGTGTACCAGCGTAGAGCAATCTTGGCCCAGAAAAGTATGGGTTGGGACCCGAGTAAAGTAATCAACTGCATACTGCGATGTCCAGGTATTGATGCTACTCCAGGAAGAGCGGTAGGTGACAGGGCTGGCACAATAGAGTTGGATCCATTTGGTATAAAGCTGCGGGTACAACAGCAGTGCAAACCTCTTTGCGGAGCTGGTCAACGCGGCGAGAGATTTGGGGCCGAGGAAATTCCCCAGATACAAAATAAGCTCGGGAGGAAGACTGTCCAGACTCATACTGACCGCTGAAAGGAGAGGAAAGGTCAGGAAGGAAGAGCTCCCTGCTAAACTTATAAGTGAAGGGGGCTGGCTTCATGGAATGTCCCCTAATGCACTCTTGCAGGCTTGCTGCTGGTCCCCTTGCGCATGAAAGACCCCATGGTGGATTGTCATTGGGCTAGTCTGCAGTGAAGGAGATGGCATATTGTGCTTCCACCGAGATCAAGAGAAGGATTGATGCGCACGGAAGAGAAGCCATTTTTAGAGGGTCACATGGCTTTGATGCTTCAACAAGCTTCGTGACGGTAAGCTTCCGGGAGAGGCGTTCCTTGAAATCATGTGACCATTCTATGTACCGATGCTCTCACATATTTGGTAGTTATGATAAACACTGCCCGCGGCTTGAGTGTATGATGAAGTTATCCGCGAAGAGTATCCGGTTTGCTGATTGGCTGTTGTTGATTGTATCTTGGTGCATTGATTGACTGGACATTGTCCGTCTCATATGCTGATTTGCCAGGCAGCCTTACATCCTGGCGTGCGGAAAGGACTCTCAGTGGCTCCTTTGTTCTTCTCTTAGCCTCGTTTGTCTTGTCAACTGGGCGTGCTCTGTACCCGAGTCGGACGACACGGGCAGGCAGCAGGCTTGAACCGTGGGTGCATACGTACACACCGTCCGTAGTGCATGCATCTCTCCGAAGGGTGGGTGGATGGCCCCCATGCTCTTGTGTCGCATCTCCCATCAGTCAATGTCTAAATCAGACTGAGAGCCAGTGTCTGAGACGTGGACCCGTTGGTTAACCACTGACTAGTGCGGTTGTGGTGGAGCAGCGGTGAGTGTTGCTTTGGAAGCATCTAGATCCCTCCGGACGAGTTGGTTTGGCTTCCCCGACTTCTCCTTTGTCGGGGAACAACCCTCCGCTCAACTATCGGCTCATCTGTTCTTTCTTTCCGAGAAATGGGGATTGTAAAGTGAAAGAGTCGAATGAAATCATCGGGATCGTGTGTGCAGTACCCGCCGACTGAGTGTCGTGATCAGCCTCCTGCTTGGAAGATCTAGGGACAGATGGGATCTGGAGACAGGAACAGGAACGAAGGAATCAGACGACGCGGAGAGCATGGAGGAAAGTAAAAGAAGCCAGTCAAACAAGGCAGGGCTAGAGAAAGTGGCGTTGAAAGTGAAGCCATGAAGTCACTTGGTGGGGGGGAAGTTCTTTAAGTTGGGTTAAGTTGAGAGACTTGGGATGAGTTGGGTTTAGTGTTGAGTCTCGGCACGGGATGAAGTCATGCTACCAGAATCCCGAAGACTGTGTACTTTCCCGAGACCTGGCCGTCACTGTTCCGAAATTAGTCCTGCCGGGTACCGAGAGGTACTGTATACACAGTACACAGTAACAGTAGTGCCTGGGAGTTTGTATGTCTCTCGATCGATTTGTTTGTATGCCAAACTGCCAGTTTGATTGTCAAAATGGACGGTCATGCTGGGCCGATGTGCTGTAGCTTTTCTGGGGTCAGGGATAGATAGGCATTTTGCCCGTACTGCTGTTCTCTCGATTGGTCTCAACCTACCAGACCTCACACACACCCTGTCAGCCCATGCATGGGACCGGGATGAAAGAAACCACCAGCCGTCCGTACAGTACAGACAAACAGACAGTCTGTCTTGGATTCAATCGGGCAATGCACTGGCAGTCTCCTGTCCCCACTCTCTATACTCCTTGTCCCTGCTCTGACTTCATTTTCCATCCCCAGTCTTCGACCCCTCAACCCTCTATTGACCTTTCGCCTGTATTCAAATAGCCTCAACTTTCCCTTCGATCATGGCTCATTCTTCATCTCATCTTTTCTTCCTGTCTCCAACATCCATCATCACAGATACACACCTGATCGCTCCCTCTTTCCTTCTATACCCTTTCTTCATCTTGTAGGTCACTTCTTGTCCTGTCAATGATCGGTCAGCCTGGCCAACTTGACTAACATCTCGACAGCATATCTCACATCAATCAACATGGCTGCTAACCTCCCCAAGACCATGAAGGCCCTCCGGTAGGTCCTGAATGGCTCTCCTTTGTTGACTGTCCTTTCAACCAATTCTGATCCAATCCTAGCTATGAGGAGCCCCTGAAGCACGGCATCGCCGAGGTTCCCCTGCCCACTATTCGTGACAACGATGTCTTGGTAAGCCTCACAGACATTGAGGGTGTCAGACCTCGACTGACACGCAACAGATCAAGGTCAAGGCCTGCGGTGTCTGCGGTACCGACTTGCACATCCACGAGGGTGAATTCATTGCCAAGTTCCCTCTCGTCCCCGGCCACGAGACGGTTGGTGTTGTGGCCGCTGTCGGCTCCAAGGTCAAGGGCTTCGAGATTGGTGAGCGTGTGGTGGCCGACAACTCTGAGCTTTGCGGCGAGTGCTTCTACTGCCGTCGGGGAGACGAGCTCTTCTGTGAGAACTTCCAGGCTCACGGCGTCACCATGAACGGTGGCTTTGCTGAGTACTGCGCCTACCCTGGTATGCTCGTCCAGTTTTCTGGTACCACGGCATTGGCTAACACAGCGTAGCTGGCAGGGTGTTCAAGATCAAGAACCTCTCGGACGTCGACGCCACTCTCCTGGAGCCCGCTTCCTGCGCCGCGCACGGTCTCGACAAGATCGCCCCGAAGATGGGCTCATCCGTTCTCCTGTTCGGTGCTGGCCCCACTGGTCTGGTAGGTGGCTCGCACCCAAGTGTCCATTCCGAATCTGGCTGACCCCTTTCAGATTCTGGCTCAGTTGCTCCGTCAATGCGGTGGCTGCCGTGTCGTTGTTGCTGCCCCTGAGGGTCTCAAGATGGATCTGGCCAAGTCGCTCGAGGCTGGTGATGAGTACATTGCTCTGTCCCGCAGCGACCCCAGCGCCCAGTTCCAGAAGCTCAAGGACGAGAACCCCTATGGCTTCGACATTGTCGTTGAGGCTACCGGTAGCGTCAAGATTCTGGAAGACTCGATCAACTATGTCCGCCGCGGTGGTAAGCTCGTCGTGTATGGCGTGTACTCCAACAAGGACCGTGTTTCTTGGCCTCCTAGCAAGATCTGTAAGTCTTTTTGCCTGTCTTGTCTCCAGTGAGTGCAGGTGCTAATGCTTCATATAGTCGGCGACGAGATCACCATCCTGGGTAGTTTCTCTGAGGTGTACAAGTTCCCTGCTGCCATTGACTACTTGGATTCTGGCAAGGTCAAGGTCAAGGGCATTGTCAACAAGGTGTTCAAGATCGAGGAGTGGGAGCAGTGCTTGGAGAGCATGAAGAACAAGTCTGCCATCAAGGCGGCTATCACTTTTGATTAGATTAGCATAGCTGGCTGTGCTCCTAAGTAATGATTAACGAATGAATATGTATGATACACTCGTGTGTTCGTCGACAACGGATCCAGTAGGCTTTGATGATTTTTGGATACTGTGGGAAGGTGTTGCAGTATTTATAGAGGAGTAGCTGGTGGGTCGGCGTCACCAAGGTCCTTACCCTGACTGCATCACAGTGACCTCAATTACGACCTGTCCACGGTCAGTCATTGAATTTCCTAGTTCAGTATTATGCCAAATCAACTAATTTACATAGCTTACTCTTTTTGCATCGACTAGCATTTGTCCATCCAAACGAGTGTAACTCGTCTCTAAACCCGTTAAGCACAGCTCAAGTGGATCCACCTCCCTTATCGATAAGCAACTCCAACCCGTCACTTTCTCTCTTTCTCTCGCTCTCCCGCATGCACTGCATCTTTCTTCTCACTTTCTAACCCAGCTCAAGCCTCCAATTTCCCTTTCCAACTTCCACACTCGCCCCTCTCAAACATTACCCCTCGTTTGTCCCAATACCTCGAGAAAAATGGTCAAACCCCTAACCTTCAAAGGCGACAAGCCTCACAAATCCAAGAAGCGCAAAGCCGACCCCTCCCTCCCGAGCAGCACCGCCAAAAAGCCCTCTTCGACACACCCAGCATCCGAGTACTCCGGCGCCAATGATGTGGTGGTGGCCGCCGACCACGACGAGGACGAGAATCCCGAAGACCAATCGTGGGTCTCCGCCGACGTGCCCTCCGACATCGCCGGCCCGATCCTCCTCGTCCTCGCCAGCCAACCGCCGACCTGCATCGCCAGCGACGCGCACGGGAACGTGTTCGCCTCGGAGCTCGAGAATCTCATAGACGGGGACCCCAGTACGGCGGAACCGCACGATGTGAGGCAGGTGTGGGTGGCGACGAAAGTGGCGGGCGTGGAGGGGTGGAGTTTTAAGGGGTCGCATGGGCGGTATGGTTTTTTTTCCTTCTGGGTCATATGAGTTCGCCCTGCTGCTATGTGTGGCGGGGTTGGTTCAAAGCGGGTGGGGGAGGGAGGTCTGCGGAGCTGGGATGTTTGAGATATGGATTGTGCTAATGTGATGTGTGATCGTTCCCCCCAAAAATAGGTATCTGTCGAGCGACAAACACGGTATCCTGAGCGCAACCTCCTCCGCCGTGTCCCATTACGAAACCTTCAATGTCCATTCCGCCGCGGTGCCGCGCACGTTCTCCATTCAGACGGGTACCAGCGAGTCCGAGGAGAGCACCTTCATCAGTGTGGCGGAGGTAGCCTCGAAGACGACGGCGTCCGGGGTGAAGCTCGAGGTGCGCGGGGATACGGGGACGCTGTCGGCGGATACCAACGTCCGGGTACGGATGCAGGCCCGGTTCAAGCCCAAGATCAAGGCGAGCAAGGAGGTCAAGGCGCGGGAGAAGGTCAGTCGGAAGGAGTTGGAGGGGATTGTGGGGAGGCGGCTGGAGGAGGATGAGGTGCGGAGGCTGCGGAAGGCGAGGAGGGAGGGCGACTTCCATGAGGTGGTGCTGGATGTGAGGGTGAGGGGCAAGCATGATAAGTTTGCTTGATCCTCCTTTCTTGGGTTTGCTCAGCATGTATGAGATATGGTTGGAGCTATAATTATACAAGATAAATATGCATATATTCTGCTTGTTGGTTTGTTAATGCCGTCGCTGTGGTATGTGAAATTTGATTATAGGCTGTCTTCATTTACTATGGACATGGACTTTGGAGCCAGTGTAGCTTGGTAGTTCAAGATGAAAAGAAGACTCCTTTGTGCTTGTATAGACATGGGTGGATTCAATATGGTACAGATTCATTACACATATACATATACACTGGTCTATTCTTTCTTGGCAAAGAGGTCCCGCCAGAACTGCTTAAATCCATAGCCCTTCGAGTGATCCTCTTCGTACACCCGCACCGTATTCGAGGTACTCAGAGACTCTAGGATGCTAGCCGCTTTGGGCCCGTCCGTAGCCGGTCCTCGAGCCCGCTCAGTTGCTCGTCGTTTGATCTCCTCCGCCAGACCAGGAGCTACTTCAGTATAACAAGCGTTCAGCTCCCGCTCGAGGTTGAGATACGGCTTTTGCGCCACCGGTGGAGCCATTAAATTGTAGGACCGTGTTTGCGCATTCAGATTCTTGACCATGAGTTCCAGGAACGAGCGCTCGGTATTGAGATACTGCGGGTCACGGAGAGGCGAGACATGCGGCAACGGCTCCTTCTCTGGAATCTCGTCGGCTAGTGCTTCAGTCGTACTCGCATCGGAAGAGTCCTGCTCTTCACCGCTACTCCCGCTGCTGCTGCTGCTGCTGCTGGGGTCTCTAAAAGCTTGCTCGATCTTGGCCCGTTCGGCCAAGCGAGCCTCCGCCGCGGCATACGCCTGCGCCCGACGCATCTGCGCCTCTAGCGACCCTCCCTCACTGGCAATCAGTCGGGCAGCGTGCCGTCGCCACTCAGCCCTCAGCCGGGACCGGAACCGATCGACCTCCCTCACCAGATCCTGTTGCTTTTCAATCCAAGGCGGCACGATCTCCTGTTTCTGGATGATCTTGTTCATGAAGTACTCCGTCGTGTCGATAAAGGGACTATTCGCATTATGATCAGTGGTCACGTTCACCCCTTTGCCCCTTTTGATCTTGTTGAATTGCCCGCGCGCGATCGCATCCTCGATCCGCTCATTCGCCAACGCCGTCAGTCCTTGCAAGGTGGCCGGCATCGGCCTGGCCCCGGGCGAAAACCGCTCCCTCATCTCCCGACGCATCGCCTCGCGCTCTTCCTCCGACGGCCCCGAGCTTTGCGCCTGAGTGTATGTTGCCGTGCGCTCCTTCGCCCTGGCGAGCCGCAAGCCGGCCGACTCGTTGGGCTTGGGCTTTATCCGCATGTCGACGGGGTTGGGGATCTTGAAGGGCGTGCGCATCGGTTTGATCGAGCTATCCAGCATGCGTAGGGTGACGTCGTGGAGGTTTTCCGTGCCAGTCCAGGGCTCCGCACCGGCGATGTCTCGTGTGCCTTGTCCAGCGCTAGCCTGTACAGCGATAACAATTCTTCGTATTAGCAGTAGAACACTTCACGATCCCCATTAAGCTGTATAGTTACAAAACAGGATGCAAAACTATACCGGCGTGTTGACTGTAGCATGCGCACTCGCGTACTCGCTCTGGAAAGCCGCCGCCGCCACCCGTTCCTCCAGCTGTTTCTTCAGCTCCTCCGAAAACCCGGCCGACTCGAGATTCTTGCGTGCGGATCGACCACCTTCGAGCATAGCTTCCTCGGTCATCTCGGACAGTCGACGAGCCATGGCCCCTTGCTCCGGGGACTTCTCGTTCTGGGGTTCGCTGCTATTGCTGCTGCTGCGGTCATCGCTCTGTTTCGCGGTTGCCGCATCTTGCCGCCCCCGCGCACTGCTGCCGGAAAGACATCGAAACGTCGAAGGGAAGGGCTGAATGGGGCGCGTCGTCCACGGCGCAACAAGAGTATTCACGTATAAGGTGCACGCATGCCTTTTGCTCATCCTTGTTCGTGTTAGCGATCTTACAATGCTGAGCGTTGGATGTTGTATCCGCAAGCATCGCACCTAGCTTCTTATCAGCCAGCGAACGCCGCTGCCGCCGGCGGGATTATGTCAGCGCGTCTCCATGCATTGCAAACCTCCGCGGGCAAAATTGTCCAAAAGTCTTGGCAAGATTGATTGCCCTTCCCTTTTCGACCCGGTAGCATATTCGACTTTGGCATTGAGCTTGTCGCAACAACGATTCCTACTTTCGCTCTTCTTCTGATAACACCGCTTCGTCTCGAGCGTCTTACGCACATTCAAAAGAATCGTCCACCATGCCTGCCTCCACCCGCCTCACCCCCATCCGTCTCCAGACCATCAACCACCTGCGCGTCCGGAGACCCAACAAGAACGAGCCCAACGGTTGTGTCAATGTCATGTCCGCGATGCTGAGTACGTCTTCTTCCTTATTCATCATCTAGGAAAAAGCTCCCGCAGATCTGGCCTGAGCCCGAGTCTTCGGGGCCCTCATCATCTCCAAGCCTTCGAGATTCGCTATGACCAGACAAACAGACTCCGGCCCTCCCCCACCTTCAAGAAAACCCATCTGAGCTAACATTCCCATTCAATCAGGTTGCTGGGCTTCGGCCGGTGGTTCCGTTGAGGGTTGCGCAGCCTTGGAACAGCAATTGAGACAGTGCATGGATGCTCCTGTACGTTTTCCCTTGTCTTTTTTTCCCGAGGGTCTTGTTTCAGCCCCTTCGCATTTACCTCCATCTCCCGTCATCAAATACTGCCTTTTCATTTATCAAGATGATAGAGGGCTGGGCTAACGCTGTATTCGCACAAAACCACAGAAACCCAAACGCCAGGGCCGCAGCACCATCAACTACCACCTCATGAGAATGTTCCCCAACGTCCGTGGACCGCAGAAGAAGGATGGTGTTTTGGGCTAAGCAGCTTTCCGCTCTTGTTTTTTGGGTTCTTTCAATGTGTTTGGGAGCGAAGTTCAAGCTGAGCATTAAAGGTCCTGCTGTGGTTGGGAAGGGGTCGGGGCGGCCCAGGTTCGGGTTGCTTATGGCTACATACGTTCTGTTGTGCTGGGATGCAGGTGGACGGATGTAGGTCAGGGCAGGATCACCGAGCTCCGGTGCTGGTTCGGGTGCATAGGACTGGTCGGGCTGAATCAGGGCATATAGGCTTGCAGCTGGCGGCCGCGGCCGGCGATTGAACATACTGTATTCTATTGTGCTAACTGGAGTTCATTTTTTTATGGTTCAAAAGACACGTTTGAAGTGTTTTGTGTTAGCGATTAGTGCGTAGTTGGGGTCTTGCGGCTGAGTCGCTGTAGTACAAGGTTAAAGGCTTCTGCACTTTCGATGGATCACCGGTGACTACACGGGTGCAATTATGGTGTGGTGTTGTTTTACTCCGACTGTGATGTTACTGGGCACGCGGAATAACTGTTACATAGCGTATATTCCATGAATAATTGGTCAAACAATTGGAGTAATCTGATCTATCAGGCATTTTCGAACCGCAAGATCAGCTTCTCGCCTCGAGGTTTAACAGTGTAAGCATCGATCGCCTCAATGTCATCGTCATCAACGATAAAGGTCTTGAAGTTCGTGTAGATGGCTGCCACGGCCAGTTTCATTTCTGACGAGGAATCGTTAGACAAGCACCGCCCAGATTACAGAACAAAGGACTCACCTTGCAGGGCTAAATTGCTACCCACGCACATCCGTCCCCCGCTGCCAAAAGCCCAAAACCACCGTCTGCGCTCCTCCAGCTCGGCGGCCGAGTTTTGGTCTTCAAGCCACCGCTTCGGTTCCCATGATTCAGGCTCGGGGTAGACCGTGGGATTGCGGTGCAGCGAATAGGCTTGCGCATTCACCCGAGTGTTTGCGGGAATATCGCTGTAGCCTGCAAGCGTGCAGCTTGGAGAGGGCGTCACGCGTGGCTGGATCCCTGGGATCGGCGCATGCAGGCGCAACGTCTCCGTAACGATAGCTTCGAGGAGAGGTAATGTGTCAATCGATTTGGGAGACGGGAGTTCTCGGGAGGAATCAGACCGAGGATAGGTGAGTCTTGGCTCAAGAGTCAGGAGCTCCTTGCGGAGCTCTTCCTGCAGCTCGGGGTGCCTGGAAAGCTCCCAGAAGAGGTAGGTCAGAGCCACGGCACTAGTCTCGTGGCCAGCTGTGAGATGATCGTACAGCTCACAGGCAATTTCGCACTTCTGTTTCTCGGGGTCTTCGTCTGGCAATCCAGTAGCCTTCTGCTGCTTGAGGATACCTTGCTTGAGCTGTTTGTATACCATCGGTTCAGTTTCCAGCCTGGTCGACGCCATGCATTCGTCGGCCTTGTCGCAGAAGCCTAGCCCCCATGCGTCCAGTACCTCGTTGGCCTCATCGCACCATTTAGGAATGAGGCGGAGTCCGACCTTCTTTGTCCATGCCAGCAAGTCAGGGACTTCTTGGTGGTAAAATTCGAACGGTTTTCTGCATTGGTAAAGGTGCAGCATCCTGCGGCGGAAGGCCTCATCTTGAAGAAAATTCGACCCATTGGCCAACCCGTAGAGATACGAGGATACGAAGTCCATGGTCAATCCTTGGTTCAGATCGTGCATGTCCACCAGGGCATTATCTGACACTGCCTTGTAGATTAGAGGCAGAAAGCGGTCAAGCATGATCGTTTCAGAGATCAGGTGGATGTGTGGTGATGATTGCAGGAACGACTTGCTGTAGATGTTGGACAGCAGCCTTTTGCGGCTCGAATGTGCCTTGTTATCGGTCATGGTGAACATGCTTACGGTTCTAGTTGCTACTGTTAGTACTTCGACGATGATGAGGGCCTTGTAATGACCTCACCCAAAAGACCCGAATACACGTGGGTACCATTCATGTTTCTCGAAGCCGCCAGTGTATACACTTTTGATGCCGCCATCAACGCAATTGATTGAGATCTCGGAAGGTCCAAGTCTCACAATAGGCCCATGCTTTTCATGAGCTGCCTGGATGGTTCGATTGTTCAGGGCTCGATATCTTTTCCAGATAATCCAAGCGGGAGATATGGGTGCTGTCCAATGTGCGTTGGGGATTTTGGACAACGGTGATAGGAATGCCGGATATATGATTAGTTTGTAGGCCAACACGAGGACGCAGGTGAGGGCTGCGACAGTAGTGACAGCAGAAACCGCCATGATGCTGTGGGAATTCAGATGCAAGTGTAGATCGCGCTGGACGTTGCAGCGTCCTCCAGTAATGGTCTTTGACAATCTGTGACTGCACCTCGGCAAACAAGATTTGCGCAAGTAGATCGGCTATTTGCCGGTATACTGAGTAGTATGGAAGCTACCAAGCGCAAGAATCTTACCCTGCGCCTAATCCTTGAATAGACTTTTGACAGTACTGTAGGAGCACGAGAAGTATACCATTTCAAGATCCTTCCAGGCAAGCAAGCTGAGACCAAAACAGGTGCAGCATGACTCACTTGAAGACAGACAAAGCTTCTTTAAGCGGGGAAAGACGCAGCAGTGCTGCGATAAGACAATGTCGCCAAAGATAGGTAGATAAGAGCCTGTGGATGACTGCTTGCTGACATAAGTCATCCAATAGAGTCACATGTTTATTCATGGATGGAATTATTGGCTCTGTGCTCTTCTTCTAGGTCAAGCGACAGTATATTTTACTCAATTCATGAGTCAATCTTACATGCTGTTATAAATCGAGTTGTTTGTTCCCATTTCTGACTGGAGCTCGTCAAGCTTGGCAACATGCAGAATGATTTGCGCATTGGCTTGAGATATCCCCATCTAGGCCCGTGAAGGGATTGACTACTACTTACCCATATTTTTTTTCCATTCCACAACATGTCCATCGCGGTAGGATACAACAAATTCACTCGGTAGGACCAGGAATAACCACTTCGGTCTCTTCTATGAAGTGAGTATTATGATCTTCTTACTGCGCAGCAACAAGCATAGCTGACTCCGTGGCAAAGAATATTGCATTACACCATACGTTATTTCTGGCCCTGATCTGCCTGGGAACCGCCAAACGCATTGGTGTATCAACACCAATCTCCGGCTTCTTCACACCACATCATGTTAGAAAATCTGCCTGCTGAGATTCTCTACCTCATTGCATGCCACTTGCCTACCGTCAATGCATTGGTGCAGCTCTCCCGGACCAGCAGACGTCTGCATGAAACCATCGCCGTTGATAATTGGCGGATCTTTCGTGCCTTTGTACAGAAACAGTTCCCCGGTTCGAAGGTCCCAGATTTCTGGAGGGAAGCAGCTCACTCGCTCACGTCTCGCTCGCGAGCCTTGGACAAACATGCCGTTCTAGGTAGGTTTGTCTTTCCGCCCCAGGCAACCAGAATCGGGTCTGAAAAAGCGATCCGGGGTGACAGGCCTACGCTTGGCTATCGCCCCGCCCTGGACACATACGAGACATGGAACGGTTCAGCGTGGAATGACCGCCGAGAAGTCCTTGCTTGGGGTGCAGCAGACGAAATCTTCCTACGAGTCAAGCATACGGGCTCGAAACCCCATGAGCAGTGGATTATCTTCAGTGATCTCGAGCATATCAGCAGTGTAGACGATATTTGCGGCCTACACCTTTTGAAACCAAATCATCCGGCCTATGAAGAAGGCAAGGAGCATCTGATCTTCGCTCGCGCTCGGGGTGAACTGCATCATCTCGCGATTACGATCGACGAGCCCTCGCATAGTTACCAGCAAGTATTCGAAACGTATGGCTTGGGCATTGAGCGCACCGACTTGAGCAACGGGGAGGAGCCGATACTCGCAGCGCACTGGAACAACGGAACCATCGCGCTGTACAACACGGTGTCAACGAGCTCGAGAGTCTCGGAATTTGCACGTCTTCAGATCGACCCGGCGAAGAGAGCTCGTAATCGATACTCCAAATTCCTCTCATCTGATCTACTTGCCATCGGAACGGGGCGCGTCGACGATGCAATCACAATCTCCTCTATCACCAGTGAGCGTGTATCGCTCGACCGACAAATCAGCCTCAACCTGGTCGACTATGACAGACTCGATTCCTCTACGGCGATCAAGTCAGACGTCAACGCCATCGCACCTTTAAGCACCACCGGACAGGTCTTTCTCGCCGGATGGGGCGATCGAGCCGTCAGGTAAGCACACATTCCCCTTCAAACACATACCCCCCAACCATTGACTCCTTGATCCAGACTCCACGACCTGCGGTCCAACAAAGAGCACGAGCTGACCTATCGCGACCCCACCGACGACAACCCGATCTACTGCATCCAACCCTTCACCCACAACCGCTTCGTAGTCGGCTCCGGCGGCGAAGCCCTTGTCAAGATCTTCGACCTCCGCATGGACCGCGGCTACAGCTACCTTGACGCAAAGCCCACAATGCGGAGCTTCACACCTCCCTCCCGACGAACCACTCCCACCACTTCTACCAAGTCCCTCGACAACCAACTCCGCCACCTAACTCTCGACTCCCCCAACGGCATCACCAACCCCAACCCCCGCAAGGAGATGTCCATATACCTCTCCCACCCGGCCCCGACCACATACCACCAACCCCGCAGCCAGCACCACCGCCCCTACCGCGGCGCCATCTACACCATGAGCTCCCCCTCCCCCAGTTCCCCGACCATCTACACCGGCGTCGCCGACGGCGTGATGCGCCTGGACTTCGTCGCGACCGACGACCTCACCACCGGTGCGGACTGCGCCTGGTTCGCGGGCCCGCTCTCCCTCAACCTGTCCTCGTCCTCAACGACCCAACCCTCGCGTCATCATCGTCGTCGTCATCACGCCGCGGACCGCATCCTCGATCTATCGGGGTACGAGCGTCCCGATCCCGCGAACAGCACCGCGGTCGTCCGGCTGCGGACGCAACAGCCGTTCGACGCGGTCACGGACGAGGACGTCGAGGATGAGCTTGCGACCGGCTGGGATCGTCGGTGGACGCAATTGAGGGATTTTAGCTCCTGGCGACGGGCTGTCTGATCCGAGGAGGAGTGGGGTTCAGCAGGGCTCTTGAATGCGCGTCATGCGGATTGAGTTTCCGGTTGGGGAGAGGGGACTCTGGTAACAGGATTACATACACCTCAGGTAAAAGGTAAACTTTCCGTTTGTTTGTTTCGCTTGCTGTACAGTCAAACAGCAAGAACTACATGGATAGACTGGATGAGCTCGGGAAGTTGGAAAGAACAAGCCATCATAAATATTGTAGGTAGACGTTGACCAAGTTCGTTCTTTTGGTTGCTGAAAAATCAGCAGAAGACGGTTTGAGATACATTTGGGGGGGAAAAAAGGCAATCAGAAATGACGTTGATTGAGAAAAAAGCAATAAGAAAAAAAGCAAAATTCCGACCCGGCTCCATTAGCGCCTTGCTGCAAGAAGCAAACATTTTTGAGGGACCCCATGATCTAAAAAAAAAGAGGCATCTAGATCTGATTATCTAATAATGTGACAGAGAATGGCTTTTTCTCCCTGGGATCGGTTGACGTTGACCAAGTCCAGCAGCTTCTGCGATGTAGGCCAGTGCACATGGAAAGCTAGACCAAGTTGGTCATAAAACCCCTCGACCAAATCGATGGCGGAAAAAAAGCGAACAGAATGGGGGACTTGACGACTGAAACGCATCATCTAGTCATCGAACTTGAATGACTTGCCGCCAGAGATGTCAATGGGACCGCCACGGTAAGATCCACGCTTCTTCTTGTTCTTCTCCTTCGTGAAACCCTTGCCGCGGGTGACGGACAGATCCGCCCAGGCCTTCTCAGCGTACGCGTAGGGGATGTACTCGTTAGACGGGTGGTGGTCGTAAGGCTGCTCGCTAAGGAGAGCCAAGGGCGTGGGGCGGGCACCGGTGTGCTTTTTCTTAGGATAGTCGTTGCCAGGGGCAGGGCTGGCGCTGGCAGAGGGAGTCTGGCTCACTTTAGCAACGGGTGCCGCCTTCTTCGAGTCAGATTCGGAGTTCTCGACGGTCTCGCTACTCTCGGAGTTAGGAGTGGCTTTCCCGCTCTCTTCTTCGGAAGAGGATTCAGAATCGGAGGAAGAAGAGTCGGAGGAAGAAGAGCTAGAGGCCGAGGTGGTCTTCTTCTCCTTCATTTCAGGCTTGGCCGTCTCCTCCTCATCACTGGAGGAATCAGAGTCGGACTCGGATTCAGACTCGGAAGAACTTTCGTCTTCGCTGGAAGATGACGACTCAGACTCGGAAGAAGAAGATGAAGAGGATGAGTCAGAAGAATCAGACTCGGAATCGGAGGAGGATGAGGCCTCAGCAGAAGAGAGCTTGGTCTTCTTGGACTTGGGAGCCTCCTCCGCCTCGGACTCAGACTCGGATTCGGAAGAGCTAGATTCGGCCTTGCGCTTGGTGCCTTGGGACTTGGAGGCAGGGGCAGCAGCAACCCCTTCCTCCTTCTCGTCATCCGCATCGCTGTCGGAATCGGACGAGGAAGAAGAAGAAGAAGAAGAGGGTGAAGAGCTTCTGGACTGCTTCTTCTGCGTCTTCGGGGCATCATCCATCTCAACATCGGAATCACTGGAGTCGTCCGAGCTGCTGTCGCTGTCTGAAGAAGAGGAGCTAGACTCATCCGAGCTGTCGGACTTGGAAGACTGGGACTGCTCCCAGGTCTTGAAAAGCTCCAACAAAGAAGGCACGTTCTTGGTATCGGCACTGATGGACTTGCTGCTCAACTCTTTGGCGAGAGCCTCGTGGGTCTTCGACAGTCCATTCTCAGACAAAAAGGAGGAAATTGCGGCGACGAGGGGCGCAGGAGGGGCAGGAGCCTGTGATGTAAAGAATTTGTGAGTATACCCGCCCGGCGCATTCTAACCGATCTCGAAAATGAGTCAAATTTTGCTTACCGTCTTCTTGTCCTTAGACATCTTGGTGGGGGTGGATTTCTGAGCCTTCTTGCCGGCCATTGTAGCGCTCTGGTGCAGGAAATCTGAGGCTTGAGCGAAAGACAAAGACTCTCGGGCAGTGACTGGATGTTTTCGATCTTTCCTTTATCGGACTGACAGAAAAAAAAAAGTTTAGAAGGAAAAAAGGGACGGCGGTCCGGGAGAAGGCGGTCAGTGATTTGTCACGCTTTGACTGGACGGTCGGTCAAAGTTGTGCTTTCACGTGGCATCCCGTGACTGAGGCTTGAGTATGAGTCACGTGATTTGAACGCTACTGTAAATCAATCTGGATCGACCGATAAAATGCATCATCTTTTAGTCAGTAGTCCATGATGAACAGCCAAATAACAGCTGGAAACCCCGGATGAGGGATCAAAGGCGTCCTGAGCTTGCTCGTCATCGTGTGTTTAAAATCCGAGACTTGTTTCATTAGCAAAGCAGTTCTACCTACATGCTATGCTTGACTGCGGCAATATATTTGTTCACCGGGTTCATCAATTGATGTGATGGCAACTTAACTTGGACATCATCTCTAAATCAGTACTGCCTCACCTCTCTCAACGATCTGCATTGATTTTTCACTCAACAATGCCATCCAGGGCAAGTTCTAGATTAGTTCCTACCTTCATAGTCTAAAAGTATCTTGTACAACACTACCCCACTCTTCGCCAATAACATCTGGCCGCGACGCGCGGGGAAAAACTGTCAAGGAATCAATCAATGCACATGATTAGAAGAGGGCAAGATCAAGAGAACTGATTCTACTGGTAAGGTTCCAGTTGTTGGAGCATATTTAGATACAGTTCGATATAGATGAGCAGACCGAGCGATGACTTTTGGTCATCGTCGTAATGTGTATGCAGAGCTAAAATGAACTTGTCATCCCTCAAACTGAGTTGTGAGGCGGGTTCGGGTTTATATATTGTGTTCCTGAAAACCGACCTGAATCCTCAAATGATGAGTCGAGTCAATGCATGTCGAGTCAGCCTCGTTCTGGTGCCGAGTGTGCGCTGCCCGCGCACGAGCTCCTCCTTCGACTCTCCGCCCGCGACAGCTGCGGTTCAGTTAGTTCAGTTAGTTTCCGCTGCCGCCCATACTCTCTCACCACCGATCAATGACCTAATCCAACTCTCCGCCTCCTCCACCTTGGTTGTGTTTCGCATTCGAGATTACTCTCAACGTGAGTATATGTCGCTCGCCCCCTTATACTGAGAGTGCCCGCCTTATTCCAAGTTCTGGCTTGCTGTGACTTTATCCTTCCACGGGCTGTTCTAATCCACCACCCCCCCCGTCGCGCTGCGCCCCTTCTCGTGTCTTCCTTGCCCTCCCCGACAATGTCCACTTGGTGTCTGGCACATCCTGAGTGATCCAGGCTTCCGTGCTTAAACGACAAATATGAGCAGCCGTGATCGTCCACGGGGCCCTCCATCGAGTGATTTCCCTCCCCAAAGGGATCCGCGTCGTGGAGGCGATGGTCGCAATGGCGGATTTGCCGGGCCCGGGGATGGCTCCTTGTCAAGGGCGGAGAAGTTCGAGGATGAAAAGAGGCGGATCATTCACAGCTGCTTCTCAAAGAAAGACAGTGATGGGACCTGTATGACATCCGCCCCTTCAAGGTCAATTGTACTGAGCCAAACTGATTGCCCTTTTCTCTGTTCCAGTGGTCGAGTCCTACATAACACATGTCCGCATCATTGAAGATGCGGCGTACCCGTCTACCCCCGCTCCCCCGAACTCGCCGCCCGAAAACAAGAAGCCTAGAGTCATCATTGTCGCAGTCAGAAGATCGGGCAGAGTGCGCTTGCACAAAGCGAGGGAAAATAACGACGGGTCTTTCTCGATTGGGAAAACATGGATGCTGGACGACTTATCCGCCATTCAATCGTATAACGCCCTGGTACCGTCGACTCCATTAGAACAACAGCAGAAGCAGTGGGCTCTCAATCTCGGATTTGTGGTCACCGTGGGAAAGCCCTATTATTGGCATGCACGGACCTCGAAAGAGAAGGACTTTTTCATAGGCAGTTTGATCAAGATCTATCGCAAATACACCGGCGGCAAGGTGCCCACGCTTATCGGATTCGACGATCGTGAACGACAACTGCTGGCTGGGCCCCCTCCGACTGCACCGCCTGGCCCTCAAGCCCCTCATCCTGGCCCTTCTCGATCTGATGTGACCTTACCTCCCCCTCGCCCACCTTCATCCCAGGGCAGTCGACCCCAGTCTCCGTACACAAGCCGTGCCCCTAGTCGCGATGGGCCCAAGCGGCCTCCGGCCGAGGAACACACTCTTCGGAGTCAAAAGAGTCGAGAGCAGATGGCAAGGCCATCCACTGGTCAGTCTGCAAAAAGCGGGTTTTCACCACTCGGTCCCCCGCCACACCCGCCGCCGATACCCCCGGACCATCGTGAGCAGCCTCCCCCTCGTGCGACCGAACGATTGGCAACAGATCACAGGGGCCCGAAGGCACCGCTGCCCCCTCCGCACGAATCTAGAAGTAGGGACTTCCCTTCAAGTCTGCAGGTTGCCCCTTCTACTGGGTCACTGGAGAGGTCCAATGGCCACACCGCTCAGATTGGCGAAATCAGCTCAGGGGTCTCTAACCTGGATGTTCGGCCACCGTCCTCCCGAGATGGAAGGCTAGGTCCCGAGTCTAGACCTACTATGCTTCGTACCCATGATTTACACACTAGTCGTAGCAAGGATGGTCTTCGACCTACCACACCCGGGTCGGTTTCCGGAGAAAATCGCACTTTCTTGCACAGTCCAGCAAGCAGTGCGGGACCGCGGTCACCTCTGCGAGAAGCATCAGAAAGGTCGTCCAGGTCAGATGTACAGATAGAGCCCCAGGAGCTGGAGGCTCCTGTCAGCTCGATGGTCGGAGACCTGCCGTCCACTCTGATGCCGGGCATGTCAGCAGGCAATAAGACGCCAACGACTCCCCAGAATCCCGAGCCTATCACTGTTCCAGTTCCAGTTCCAGCACCCGCACCCGCACCCGCACCCGCACCGGAACCGGCACCAGCACCGGAGTTGATCATAGCACAACCAGAACCCCCACAGTCACAAGAGGCTGCCGAACCAGCTACAGAAATGGAACCTTCAATGCCGACTAGTTCTCCAGATGAATTTGAAGCTGTAGCTGAAGACCTTGACACGCATCGCCCGGGCCTTGGTCCGATGGTAAAGAAAAAGCAAAACAAGGACATTGCTGGAGCATTCCGCAAAGCCGCCACTGCTTACGGCGCTTTCAAGCCGAGACCCGGAGGTGCAGGCGAGAGGCTTCTTGCTGCGGCGAAAAAGCAGAAAGCAGCTACGGATGAACCCGACGGTATCACGAGCGTTGTTCCGGCCCCATTCTTGCTTCGGACGAACAGCGACAACACAACGGCTGGCCCCGACAGCCCGGACAAAGAGGAAGCTCCTGCTTTGCCTCCAACCACAGAAGAACAGCCCGCTGCGCCTCCACCAATAACAATTCCTGTAACGGAGCCTCCCACGGTCGAAGTAACCCAAGCTCCTCCGCTTGAGCCCGTCGTCGACCCCGTTGAGGCACCCAGTGATACGCGGAGTACATCGAGACCCACGGTACAAATTGTCACGGATGAGAGGTCAAGGTCTGTGTCGCCTTCACCACATGACCGTCGCCGTAGACGTCACGAAGACAACACAATCAAGTACTGTCAGTCACTTGGGATCAACCCCAGTATTTTGGTAGGGCGTGGTGTGGAATTTGATGATATCTTAACAGACCTTGGCTGGAACGGACGGCTGAGCGATGAGAAACGTATTGAAGATCTTGAAGCGGATATTCGTCGTGAGATTGGGCGGGTTGAGGCTACCAGCTGGCTTGGTAATCTGGAGCAGCAGGAGGGGAAAATCGATCAACTGGCCAGACTCATTGACAAGACGGTCGAGGAATGCGAAGAGTTGGATAACCTTCTTACTCTGTACGCGCATGAACTGAACGTAAGTCATAGATAGCCCCGGGCATCTCTTTGGACTGACACGCAACATCATGCTAACCGAGCTATAGACACTTCACGATGATGTGGCCTATATTGAAACACAATCGCAGGGTCTGCAGGTGCAGACTGCTAACCAGAAGTTACTCCAGAACGAGCTACAGAACCTTCTGAAGACACTCTCTATCTCTTCTAATGATCTACGTGCGCTAAAGGAATCATCGCTCAGCAATCCGGATGGTCTACGAGAGACTGAAGTTGCGCTGTCAACGTTGTATAAGGCGATGCTGATGATTGATTCTGATATACGGCAGAACAAGAGACGGCTGGCCGACTCTGCCGGAGATCATGGCAGCCTGGGCGTTTACGCTGATACAGAAATTGGACAGATGCGAGCCATTCAGGAGAAGAAAGAGGAATATCGCACCCATGCTCGTGTATTCTTGCAGCGACTGAAACAATTTATGACGATCGCCTACAGAATTGCAGAGCAGAAGAGGATCGACGCTGTAGCTGCCGCTGCCCAGAAGGATCCGCTTAAGCTCAACAGCGAAGCTCGCGCGTACTGTCGTCGAGAGTTGTGGCAGTACCATGCAGTGATCCTCTTTGCGAGAGAAGTCAGTGGGGGAGAGTGGCAGACCTTGATCAATCTCTACGAACAACAGGCTAAAGCACCTTATCAGAATGACTTCCGAGATAATAATTTGTCTTGGAAGAAGATGGCAAGAAAACCCACAGGGGATGAGCAGGAACTTCTTTTCACTCATCAAGAGAAGGAAAAGGAGAGTGAAGGTATTACGATGGCTGCTCGCAAGCTCACCGTCCGAAGAGGCAAGACCATCCGAGCGGCGGCAGGACTCAAGCTATCCTCTAGTGATAAGCAACACGGCAAGCTTGAGCCCTGTGAAGCGTTTGCAGGTACACTCCAAGAGACACTGAGAATGATTTCTGAGGAGCAGAACTTCATTGTTCATTTCTTCCACCTGAACTCGCTCTCTACTGTCGAATTCCCTGACCTAGTCGCTTCGGGCGCTCCCGACGAGCGCCGGGTTCCTAATTTCAGCGTCAAACAATTACATGACCCGGATCGAGGCATGGCAAAGAAGGTGGAACAGGGTATGGACGAGCTCTTCTCATTCTGGCCCACTGATATGCAGAATCTTGTAGACTGGGCTATCCAAGCCGATCCACTGTAAGTGTCAACTGAGCGTGCCCCACATTATCACTACCCGAGATGCTGACTCGCATAACACAGACAAGGAATTGGCATTCTACTAGCGTTAGAGAAGGCTCTATCGGAGTTTGATGATGCAAATCAAGATTTCATTGTTCACTCACTTCAGAAACTGCATTCTCGACTTCTTGGCCTATTCAACCGTTTCGTGGATGAACAAATCCGAGGCATCGAAGAAACCAAAGTCAAGGTGAACAAGCGCAAGGGGGTCATCTCTTTCATGCGAGTGTTCCCGAACTTTGCCACCGCAGTAGAGAATCTCCTTTCGCAGCAGTCGCAGGAATTCTATGACATCCGGATCAGTGTCAATGAAGCTTACGATCGCATCAATCGTGCCATGTGGGAGTCGCTCAAATTCATCGCCAAGGAAGCTCCAGGCCAACCTTCAGCAGCGACAGCCGCGTCTGGCGACCCAGAGGATAAAGAGATCCTGAACTATCACATTCTCTTGATCGAGAACATGAATCACTACGTGGAAGAAGTCGGGATCCGGGATCTCCTGGTTCTGGAGCGATGGCACGCCCGGGCGCAGCAAGATATGCAAGAGCACTTGAAGCTGTATCTGGATTCGGTCATCCACCGACCTCTAGGTAAGCTGCTCGAGTTCGTCGAGTCTGTTGAGAATCTACTGGCGAGCGGTATGAGCCCCGCGGACATCGCCAGCCGGCCCAGCCACTCGCGATCGGTGGCGAAGAAGGTGTTGGCTGCGTACGACGGGAAGGAAGTTCGACGAGGCATTGAAGGGCTAAAGAAGCGGGTTGAGAAGCATTTTGGTGATGCGGACGATCCGGGCCTGAGCCGGAGTCTGGTGTTGAAGGTGCTCCGAGAATGTGAGGGTCGTTACGGGGAGGCGTACGACCGTACCCGGCGCATCATCGACACACTGTATGAGGGACAATTGGAGCTGGAATGGCGCAAGGAGGAGGCAGCTGCCATGTTTCAAAGATGACAGATGGTTATTATTGGTATTTTTAAGTTTCTGCCCTTGCTTGGCTGTCTGCTACCTGCTGTTGAGTGCGAATCATACAAGGGGCGCATGGATCTGGGCGTTTGCTTCTTCATTTTCCAGGTTTACATCTCTTGTTATAAGCCGTTGGCTCGTCCGAGTACCCTTGTCTATTTCTGTACTTATAGTTCATGGATGGTTCGTTATTGTTTGAGTGTGGGAAGGGGATTTCCCGCACTCCTGTATTGAAGAACTACTACACATCAAAGAAGGATCGATTCTATGGCGTTGCTAGCTCAGGCTAGACGTCGTCTCCGGCGGGCTCACGCATGGTCCGAAGTAAGGACTCGGCCCCTAGTTAAGGTACTTAGCCAGTGGCCCATGCGGAACGCGGCAAGTACCTGTAGATGGAATCGCGTCTGGTGTCGATCCCTCGGCGAGAAACTTCCAGTGAACTAATAATGTCAGCGGCTGGCCCCTGGTTCTGTGTTTGCAGACAGCCGATCTTCACCTGGTCCAGGTAAACGGCTAAAATTGCGGCCGCGACACGAGCCAGTATTGGAAGGATTCAGGGGTGGGAATGGGGTCTGTGCTGGAGGTGAAAGAGGATCAGGCACTTGTGTCACTGTGGCCACTGTGGTGTGCCTTGCCTGTCAGTCACTAGCATGAATCAATGATTAGATATGCTATTGCCAGAACAAACCAACAGATAGATGGATGGATGTATTTGACCTGCCAGAAAAAGCAAAGAGCTGGAACGGAACAGTAACGTGCTGTTTGTTGCAGTGCAGTACTGGCAAGAAAAGCCACCAACCGGTGAGTGAGAGTCGATCGATCGGCTCGATCCCGATGGATCCATGGATGGGCGATAATAATTAGTCTCAGATCCCGTGAATTGGGCGGGCAATGGGCAAGGGAACCAAGGCTCAGCTGGAAGCAGACAAGTTATAGGTAGAAAGAGTTGTTTGACGCCGAATTGTTGACAGGAGGCACGTCAATAGCGAGATACTGCATATAGCAGCAATAGAATAATAGGTAATCAAAGTTAATCTCGCAGGTAATTGCATTTCCTTAAGGAAATACTGAGTACGAGTCATTGATCAATGTTAAAATGAGATAAAAAGTGGCCCGGCCAAGTCTAGCCTCTTCTATAGACTGGTTAGCCTCAGGCTTCCTCCTCTGTGGCTCGAGTCTTCCCTCACTCTTTCCCGATTGATTATTGTTGTCTCGACTAACTAACTTACACTACACTACACTACACTACGATACACTATACTACTTGTAACTAACCAGTAAGTTAACTACCTTCTCCGTGCTCCGTCCGTACCCTTTCAGTTACTTCTCGACTATCCCTCTTCTTCTCCATCCACTCCTCCTCCTCCACCCCCCCTCTCCCCATCTTCCCAATCAATCATTTCCCCATCCTTTTCGGGCTTCAACTATCTTCTCCCCCATCTCTCAATTTCTTTCCTTCTCTTCTTGCTTATAATCCTTTGTTCTTCCCTTCTCGATCTCTCCAACTTGGTAAGCTTCTCCCGCTCCCCCTGCCTACGTTTCAGTTGTGTGAGGTTTCTCCACAGTTCCTGCCAAGTGAACAATTGGGCTCCACTCCCATTCCAACTGCTTAGGGGAAAAAGAGGGCGCGCGTCCGCCGCACCTACGAATTCATTCAAGCTCCCCAAGGCAGAAAGCAACCTCGAATTAGTCAAGTCGATGGGGCAGACTCGTCCTGTGTGAGGGATGCTTCAACCACCGACCTCATAACTATTCCTTCTACGTTATACTTTGTGCAATTAACAGGGTAGTGGTCACGGTCCCGGAGACCCTGCGCGATTCCCGCTCCTTGATGGACACACAGCTCTTTACACTTCCGCTTATCATGACCCTACTGACTCCTTCGACTCGCATTGAAACATCCTACGCTTGCGTTTCGCTTATGAGAAATTCACTCACTAACCGCACAATTTCCGCGACGTATCTAGTGACTACAGAACCACACCCCTAAACCAAAATAACCTTAAGAGAGACAGCACACCTCCGGGTCGCAATCGAATCGCGCTCGCACACGCCTGACGAATTGCCCGCATTCCTCCCCTTTCCACTTGTTGCAGACGGCTGCATGTAGCGCCCGCCCCCTTATCTCTATCGATCAGGCCACAGATTCCCTTCTACCCCTCGCGACCCCGCTTTCGTGCTGCGCTCCTCATTCCTGAGACGATCCCCCTCCCTTTGAAAACCACCGCGGCGGGGTGTTTTCGCAATTGCCGCCTCGCATCGCAGTTATGCCCTGGCGGCCTCTGCCTCGCATTGCTTTTGCTGTGGCCATCTATCCCTTCCAGCCTTCCACCCCGGCAGACTTACCCCTCGAGCTTGGCGATGAATTATACATAATTGAGCAAGGAGGCGCTGATGGGGAATGGTGTCGCGGGTATTTGGTCGCTCCGCCGTCGCTGCTGGCAGGACTGACCAGCACCAAGGGACAAACACTGGAGGCGAGGGTCTTTTCAGGCATCTTTCCGCGGAATTGTGTCGAGATCCGCGAGGTCTTGGGCGACGGGGAGAGGACTATAACCAATGGAGACCGGTCGAGCTTAGTCCTGACGCCTGGTACGGACGGAGATGTGCGAGACAGCATCACTTCCTACCACGACGATGAGGGCCCGCTCGGGGAAGTCTCCGATGTGGTGATTGCGAAGAAAGGGAAGCCGTCGCAGATCTTCATCCACAAAATCGACGACGATGACCAGTCGAGTCCACACTCACTTGTGAGCCATACTTTCGGAGTAGTGTCGGTACCTTCGACACCTGTCATTGTGGCTCCGCGAGACCCTAACGCACCCAAACCGGCCGCGCCAGTGCCAATGCTCAAAATTGGTGATGAAACGCCCACATCGCTTTCAGAACCGCTCGTCGATGAGATTGCATCCTGCTTGCGCGAATGGCATTCGACCAATTTGCACCAATTGCTACTGTCGCGCCAGTACGACACCGTGGAGGAATTGTCGAAAATCGTAAAAGAACTCGACCTCGCAAGGCGACAACTTCAATACAATGTGCTCACAGCCAAGGAGAAGGTTTATCTGCGACAAGAGGTAGTGTGGAAGCTGGTACAGGGTAATAAAACGTTGGGGGGAGAAGTCATTGTCAGAGATCCCCTGCAAATGGGTCGTCTGCTCACAGGTGACGATTCTGCGGTGCAATTGACCAAGTTACAATCCGAAATGAGTATGCTCGAAAGTACTCCCACGCAGCAAGCTGACGCGGCTTCTCTGCATCATTTGCTGTTGGAAGTGAACGCTGTGTCTGGTCATGCGCCAGGGCCCGTGACACTGGCACTCTATTTGTGTTCACAGTCGGAGACTGGTGCTCTGACTCCGCTGTCAGAGACCTACCTCCTGGACATTCCTTCCCCCGACAAATTCGCAAATATGGGTCACAGTAACAAACTAAAGACTCTTTTTACCGACATGAGCAACACGGATTTCGGCGATGACACTTCAAGCGGTCCAAAGCTGTATCTGATCGTGGCCGTTCGAGCATCGGAAACCGCCTCCGTGGCCAGCGCCGCAGCTCAATCAAGGTCTTCACTCTCGCGCGACGGCTCCACGATCAGCAGAACCCCCACTGTAGCCAACCACGCGGCGAAGAACAGTTTGAAATCTCGTCGCAGTATGATGTGGACATCCAAGCGCGGCGCGACAAGCACTGAAGTGCTAAAAGAAGCTAGCAAGGGACCCCCTCGGTCTTCGGAGAGTGTCTCAAGCATTAAGGAACGGGCCAGTGGTAGCCAACCTACAAAAGAGTCAACTCATATTCGGACATTAGGGATCGGCTTCTTGGAAGTCTCTCAAATTTTACGCTCAGAAAAAGATGCAGAGGAAGTGATCAATATTTGGTCACCGTCTGACGATAGCGATGAGAGGGAAGGACGCGCCGACAATTTCGACAGCGTGGTTCGCACCTTAATCCCAAGTTCGACAGGCAAATATGTTCGATCCCAGCCAGCTGCTCGGCTCCATCTTCATCTTTCTCCGCACACCAATCCCGACGCAGATGCTTTGGTCCGAAAGAATCCCACAACCATGCTGAACGTCATCCAAACCAGACGCATTGGCTTTTCTCAAGCCCCGACCAAACCCAGATCTGATATTTACGTCACTATTTCTCACGCCACTTTCCCTGAAGATGCCCTCCTCTCCCATCCCCAGTCAGGTCAAGTCCCTGTACCGACGCTGACTGGCCTTCGTAACCTGCAACTGACTCTTGAGGTCCGGACCTCATCAGGAGCACGCGTTGACCGCTGCGTTTTCCCTGCATCTAACCAGCCTTCACAGACCGCATGGCGGACCACGGTAGCTGAACGAGGCGCACCGTGGAATCAGACAATTCGGCTCAACATCCCGACGGACCAGATCCCAGGATCGCATCTGATAATGAGTATCGCAGATGCCCCGGAATTCCCCTTTGCTCTGGCCTGGATGCCTTTGTGGGACAACAAGGCCTTCATGCGAGATGGCCCTCATTCACTTCTGCTGCATGCCTACGACAAGTGTACCTCGAGTATCGAAAATGGGAAGGGCGCTTATTTGTCTCTCCCGTGGAGCTCACTCGGTAAGAATGAGTCAGCAAAGGACGAAGCTATCACAGGACCCTTGGCTACACTGCGCCTGGACACGCACTTGTGCAGCACCGAATACTCTCAGGACCAAGTGATACTCAGCCTTCTAAACTGGAAAGAGCGACCCGTCAATGAAGTTTTGGACACCCTGAAGCGGGTACTATTCGTACCAGAGATCGAAATCGTGAAGCAACTCAGCAGTGTCTTGGATTCTTTATTCGGGATATTGGTTGAGAATTCTGGAAATGAAGAGTACGAGGACTTGATTTTCAACAACTTGGTGACGGTTTTGGGCATCGTGCACGACCGACGGTTCAACCTTGGTCCGCTCGTTGACCACTATGCTGAAAACCAATTCAACTTTCCTTTTGCCACGCCGTGTCTGGTTAGAAGCTATACGCGCCTTCTTCTGGCCAACTCTGACCCACAACAGTCGCGCAATTTGCGCGCCACGTTCAAGGTGGGCCGACATGTTCTGAAGTTTATCATCAAAGCCCGACAACAGCAGAAGGCCAAGGAAGAAGGCATTGGAATTACCCGAGTGCAGTCAACCTTCAATCGCGACTTGCATACCATCTTCAAATCACTTGAAGCTCTTATGAAGGACACGTCGCCTGCGACGGTGGGCAGCAAAACGCTCGTGGTCCAGCATTTTCACACCTGGTTGCCTGAACTGTCAAAAGTTCTCGGGCGAGATGAGACGATCATGATTGCGCTCAGTTTCATGGATGCCTGTAAAGACGTCAAAGGCATGCTGATCCTGTACAAGCTGGTTCTCATTCAGCATTACACCCGCCTCGAGATTTTCAGCTCCGGCTCAGAGAGACGGAGCCTGATCTCCAGCTGCATCAGCTGGCTGGCTCCGTACTGGGGTGCGACAGGGGCTGTATCTGACCTGTATCGCGACCAAGTGCGCTTGTGCTGCGCGGTGGTCGCGGAGTTGTTAAAGCAGCCCGATTCTCTCATTTATGAGTTCATGCCAAATATCGTTTCATCCTACTATTCTATTATACCCGATGGGGTGGAAGAAACCAGCTACCTCTCCTTACTCTTCAGCAAAACGTTCCCGTTCCAAGTCAAGTCCTCGAAACACTCGCAGCGGTTTGATGAGGCTTTGGTTGAACTTTCTGCGATCATGGCCGCTACGGCAGCGGTGCCCAACCCCAAACGGCCCCGCTTGAGGGGCTTAGAGCTGTCTGCTTTCCTCTCCCAGGCGTTCGAGGTTCATACCTCGATACTGAACTGTGAAGCTTATCCTGAAAGCTGGCTAAGTGTGCATGTTTACAATCACCGCGCGACAGTCAAGAGTCTCGAATTTCTTGCAGGAATCCTTATCAAGAAGTTTCTTCCAGCCCCGGAAGAGGCTGAGACTTTCGACACAAGACTCTGGGAGAGTTTCTTCATGACTTTGCTCAAGGTGGTTTCGAGCGAGGCGCTTGCCCTTGAGACTTATCCAGAGCAGAAGCGACGTGCCATCTGGAAAATTGCCGGCGATGTTCGAGAACAAGGCGCGGATCTACTACATTCCAGCTGGGAAGCCATTGGATGGGAGACTACCGACGAGGAGAGTGAGCGCTACGGATTGAGTAAGCTCGGGGGCTACCAAGTGCAATATGTTCCCGGACTGGTGGCACCAATTATCGAACTTTGTCTCAGTGTCCATGAAGGATTGCGACATGTTGCTGTCGAGATCTTGCGGACGATGATTCTGAGCGAGTGGGGACTTAACCAGGATTTGTCTATCATCGAGACGGAAATTATTTCCAGCCTGGATAACCTATTCAAGCGGAAGAATATGAGCGGAAGCGTGGTGCAAAAGTTGTTCATCCAAGAATTGATGGATCATTTTGAGGGCTACTCTGTGTTCGATGAGGATCTCTCCGAAGCAGTCGGGGCTTTGATTGCTACGGTGGATGAGCTTCTGGATCTCTTTGTGGCGTCACAAGGTGGATCTATGGCTGAGAGTCTGCATACTCTTCGATTAATGAAGTATATGAAAGACATGGGCCGAGAGGATATCTTCATACGCTACGTGCACGAACTGGCTCAAGTTCAAGCTGCCGCAGGCAACCTCACTGAAGCTGGCCTGGCGCTTCAATTCCATGCTGACTTATATGACTGGGATCCGAGACGGACACTGCCGGAGCTGCTCAATCCTGCTTTCCCTGAGCAAACGTCATTCGAAAGAAAGGAGTCGCTGTATTTCTCGATTATTCAGTACTTCGAGGACGCCAAAGCTTGGTCGCACGCGCTGGTGTGTTATAAGGAGCTCACGCAGCAGTACGAAGACACGACTATGGATTTTGCCAAGCTTTCGAGGGCCCAGAGTTCCATGGCCAAAATATACGACCACATCGCGAAGCAAGACAAGCAGATCCCGCGATATTTCCGTGTGTTGTACAAAGGACTTGGCTTCCCACCTACTCTGCGTGACAAGGAATTCATCATTGAAGGTGCTCCGAACGAACGAATGGCTTCCTTTGTGGACCGTATGCAGAAGGAGCATCCGGCAGCGCAGATTATGTCGTCAGGTGAGATTCAAGACTACGAGGGTCAATTCCTGCAAATCAGCTCTGTCAGCATCTACCGGGATGTGGATCACCCAGTCTACCAGCGGTCCAAGGTTCCGCAGTCAGTCAGAGATCATTTGCTGGTTTCTGAGCCTTCCCAGTTCACAACAACGCTCAGGAGACATGTGCGCGACACGGATGTCACGCAACAGTGGGTGGAGAAGATCATTTACACCACCGCAGAACCCTTCCCCAACATTTTGCGTCGCAGCGAAGTGGTGGAGGTGAAGGAAGTCTCGCTGTCGCCGCTGCAGAGCGCCCTGGAACGGACTTGGCGTAAGACTCAGGAGCTGACGTTGCTACAGCGGCGGGCTGCATCTGGTGAGGACACTAGCCTGAACAATCTTACGGAGGCAGTGCAGCAATTACTAGATCTCAATGCATCCACTCCAAACTGCGTTGCGTCTTACCGGCAATTCTTGTCGGATGTGCCAGACGAGGACGAGGGTGGACTAGTGACGCCCAAGCCCGCGGATCCGATGAAGAACGCACTGGCAGTAGCTCTCATCGACCATGCTTTGGCGATCAAGCATGCTCTTGCGCTTTATCACCGCCCGGCCCACCAAGCCACGCAAGCGGAATTGATGCGTCGGTTCGAGGAGGCATTTGCGCCGGAAATCGCCTCACTCCGTCCAGTCGAGCCCGAAACTCCTCCAAGGTCCCCACGCAAGTCTCCCAAATCGGTGGAAGGGCGTCAGAGGGCGTCTAGCTCGCGAGCCTTGAGTCCGGAGCAGGAGTTGATTCGCACCTCGCGCAAAACGCATGGTCGTAAGCACTCGGCGAAGCAATCAGTTAGCCATCGGATTAGTGTCATGAACCCTTTCAAGCGGTCCAACCATGCGGCAAGCAATTCGGTGACTACCGTGCAGGAGGAGCCGAAGAAGCAGCCAGGCGTCAACGGAACCCAGGCAGCGGAGCAAGGTCAGGGAGAATCCGTAGAGCATGATGATGCGGCCACGATTCACAGTCGCACTACGACCCAATCACGCGATACTCAGACCAAGCGACGGAGCCTCTTTGGCGAAGTACTGCACAAGCACGGCTCATCCTTGTCCATCAGCAGCAATGCTCCCGAAGAGACCCAGAGCCAGAAGCAACAACGGTCAAGAAGTGCTTCTCGGGACACTGTTGCCATCTCACAAGACTCTGTCAGCCGCACGACTTCTCGTACCAACGGAACTGTTGAAGGGCGTCCCTCGGTGAGCGGTCCGAAGACTGGGGGATGGTCGACTATTCCTTCAATCAGTGACTACCCACGGCCCGTGACGCGGAGCAGCATGGCGTCTGTGCGCAGCCCGGAGATCACTAGCCCGACAGGACATAGCAACGGGCACAGCAATGGCCATGGTCATGGACATGGAAAGCGCGATTCGATGATGAAGCGATTCAGTCTGCTCAAGGGCGTCACTCGAAAGAGCAGCCGTCATGACTTCAAAACGGAAACTCCTCTGCGGGAGGAGTGACTTTATTTTTTTCTTCCGAATTCTCTCCCTGACCTTCTTTTCTTCTTAATGTCTGGACATTAACCTTTTTAACTGTGCATTTTTTTGACCGATTCGACCAGCGTTGATTCGACCTTGTCTTGCATTGCAGCGATGCTTTGATCTTACTTGACTTCACTTCACTTCTCATTCTCGACCCTTTCGTCCACCGATCCAGGCACGATACATCTTTTTTATTACCGAGATGCCTTATTTCTCTTTCCCTCCTTCCTTCCCTTCTATTGGATCTCATTTGTGATTAGAATATTCTTTTGTAAGATATTTCGACTATCTGTCCGGACCTTGCATTCAAAACTATACCCTGGAGAAGGTGAAACGGAGTGAGTTCCGATAGGTGTATTATTAGGTAGTTCGGTGTTGTATACAAGATTGTTGCCGAAGTCCATTACCAGTACACAATTGTACATTCTCTTGATAATATTGAATGGGGAAGCAAGGTGGATATATAACAATAGAAACAGAAGCAGGCCACAAACAAACAGCAAAGCAAGTAGCAAAGACAGCCAACAGACATTAAGGTCATTTCTCTCCTCCTCTCTTTCTGTCTCTCCCCTCCAATTGAAATAATCTCCACCCCTTTCATCCTGAGCTTGGGGTTGGATCACCCTCATTCCCCTTCGACAACCGGCAACTCCATCTCCACCAACCACGGCGCATTGATGGGATGATACTGCACGTTGACGACGCTGGCGTTGACGAACAGGGTCTCCTGGCCCGGGTTCAAGGGCATCATGCTGGTCTTGCTGACGTCGACGCGGGCGCAGTGCTCCTCGCGCGTGCGCGGCTGGTCGCACTGGATGATCGAGTCGTTGCCCGTGCTCCACTCGCGGCGCATGGCCCCGTACCCCTCGTGGATGTGGCCGAAGACGTGCAGCCGGGGGCGGGCCCGCTTCACCGCGCGGTACAGGTGCTCGCACCCGACGCTGACATGGTTGGGCACGACCTGGTCCAGGATCCCGTAGGGCGGGCCGTGGGTGATCACGATGTCGATGCCCTCGGGAGAATCGGGGATCGGCGCGGGGGCGACGAACCCGCCGCGGCCGGAGTTGGCGGCAATGGCGCCGCGCGCGCCCTCGCCACGCGAGCCGGTGCTGCCGTGCGTGCGGGTGCGCTCGCGCGTTTCGCCGGTGGTTTCGTTGGGTTGGGGGTCTTGGTGGTGGTTGTGGTTGTGGTTGTGGTTGTGGTGGTGAGCATGGCCGTTTGTGTGGTGATGGTGGTGGTGGTGGTGGTGCTCCTCCGTCCGCGTTCCAATGGCCGGGTTCTGTTCATCTTCCACCCCATCCCCCTGACCATCCTCCTCCTCCTTCGTCTTCCCCTCGACGGTCCCAGACGAAGAAGCAGCAGGCGGATTAAACCGATCCACGCCGCGCTCATACCCAAACGCCCACTGACAGAACTCGGGCGTCCAACTCGACGCATACACCCTCAGCCGTCTCTTTTGTGGTCCTGGTAACTCGAACTCATGCACCCCCTCCCCCAACAACCGGATCCCTGCATCCCACGCCTCCGGACCGGTGTACAACCGGCGAATCTCCTCGGGATCCTCCAGCTGGCCGGGCTCCGCCTTCCCCGAGCTGATGTTCGCCGCGGACGCCGTCGCCGACGGCGCCGTGTGGTCCGTCCGGTTGCGGTGGCGGTGGTGGCCCAGCGTTTCGTAGTAGGGCGCGTCGAAGGTGATGTCGTGGTTGCCCGGGATGATGAGCTTCAGGCGCGCCGGGTGGGATTTCAGGTACGACAGAGTGGTGAGGTGTTCGTGGCGCCGCGAGACTTTGGTCAGGTCGCCGGCGTGGATGAGGATGTCGGCGGCCGGTAAGGGGTCGAGGAAGGCCGGGGGTGGCGGGGAGGAGTCTTGGTCTCGGGAGGAGGGGGACGAGGCTGGTGAGGATGTTGGGGGTTGCGGGGTGAGGGTGTGGGTGTCGCTTAAGAGGAGGAGGGTGGTCTTTTGGGTGGGTTGTTTGCGGTTCATTTTGGGGTGTGTTTGTCCGGTGCTTTGGGATGGGGTTTCGCTTGGGGTGTCTTATGGGTGGTGTCGGTGGGAGGTAACAGGTCAGTTGATTAGAGGTTGGTGTTTGGTGGTGGGATTTGGGCTGTATGTATGTAGGAGGATGTAGTGGGATGTTGGAGGGATGGTGTGATTAGTTAGGTGACTGGTGGAAGGAAAGTGGGTTGGTTGAACCAAGATTGTTGTTCTGGGGACTGGCTGGGGAAGAGAGCGGAATAAAACACCGGGAACAGAGGGGAGAGAGAAATTATATCATCGATGGGGTGGTCAATGGGGTATAACAGCGACGAACGGAGCATAAGATGAGGGGAGAGAAAGGAAGGTCCGCGCGGGTGAAGTCTCTCTTTCGTCATCAGACGATCAACCCACAGGCATTCATTCACTACCACCAAGGCCAAGTCCAACAAGGTAACATACAAATTCACTACTCATACATTCACTCTAGTCATACCAGTACTGTCTGTCTGTCTGTCTGTCTGTCTACTACCTACTGAAAAAAACCCAGTATCATCAAATCTGAACTTTGCATAATTCATCCATTGCTCAGAGCTACCAGTTCATTACTTTGCTAACTCCGAAGAATAATAATTCATTCCCTCCCAGAGACCACAACCACACCAGCACAGCGCGCGAGATATCCATTTTTTGTAAAATTTTATGAAATTGGAAAAATTTTATATGAAGTAAACACGACGCTTACTTGCGGATAGCACGCTGGTAGAAAGCCAACTCCTCACCCTCCAGGATGTAGCCGTCCACACGGCCGCTCTGGCCGGGGCGGGAGGAGACAACGGCGTAGAGGCGGCCGGACTCGAACTGCTTCTCAACGGCGCCCTCGACCTTGCCGTGGTCGGCGAAGCGAGCAGCCTGCTTCTTCTGGACGCTGTTGCTCTTCTTCTCCTCGGTGACCTCGGTCTTCTGCTGGCGTCTGCGGCCAAGGGGCTGGCCGTAGTGGGCCTCGTACCATTGACGGAAGGGGGCGGCATCAATCTGGACAACGGCGGACTTGGTCAGGGTGTTGGTGCGGACCAGCTCGTTGTTGGAGGGGTGGTAGGCCACAACGATGACACGGGTCTTGCGGGAGACACCCTCGGAACCCCAGGAGAAGTTGCCGGAGTCGAGACGGAGGGCACGGAACTTCTGGTTACCACCACGGGTGCGGACCAGGTGGATTCTCTTAGCACCGATACGGGTGTTGGCGGCCTGGCGACCCTTCTCGAAGGCTCTTGAAGTCGACCAATGTCAGTACACGTTCGATTGCTTCGCAACTGGGAGCAGTGCGTGTACATGCGACAGGTGTTGCATACCTCTTCTTGCGGTAAGTGGCCCGCTTGGCACCGGTGGCCGAGCGCTTGTGGCGCGAATCACGAGAGATACCCATATTTGCTGTTCGTGGGGACTGAACCAAGAGAGAGAATTAGTGACCTTGTTTCGTACAGAGCCTGATGCGATCCCCTTCTGTGTGAGCCACAAGAGATTCTTCCTTCTTTCCTCAAAAGTCTCGTATTTGATGCCGTCGGTTGGGTGGATTAGAGCAAGCAAGCAAGTAATCAATTGATCGTCGAGTGTGTCGTCACATTGTTGAGTTGAGTCGAAAGCAGGAAAGATAAAAAAAGGACTGATGTTGCAATTGTGCGATCCAACCGAACGTAGATAGACCGAGCAACCGATCACAAGGAGACTTATCGATATGATAAAAATCTCTTCTTGTACCGGCTTCCTTGCAAATCGTGTCGATATTTCACCCCAACTACCCTGTCGTCGTATTCTTGCGCCCCGTTCTTTTGATAACGGCTTCAATTCGAGATTCGAGACCGAGACTTGCACGCGCACCAACCGACTTGTCGAACGAGACCGGAGAAACAGAAAAAAAAAAACATCCAGAGCTTGACGAAAGGGATCGCAAATGATCACGGAGACTGTTGCAATAAACTCACCTCTAATCCTGCAGCCCTTCACCAGGAACGCAGCGGGCAAGGGTCGATGGGGTTGGTCGTAGGAGTTGTTGATGCTGGTCGTCGACTGTCTCGTGAATTTCGCACTGTGGCTCGCTTGTTGGGGGGGGACACTTGCCCTACCCCGGGCTAGTCTGCATGGGGCTAGTTCCGTCAGGTGATGCGCTGAGTCATCCCGCCTCTCGCCAGGCGGTTTTCGGACGCACTGTCTGTCCGCCCCTCTTATCTAATCGGCCGCCAAGGACAATAGCCACTAGCCCTATCTCGGTAGTTTGGCGCTAAGCCTGAAACGGGCTTCCCAGTAGAGCTGGCACTGCACCACTAGAAGACTGGACCGAGCATTAAAGAGCCTGGAGGTTAAGGAGCACAGCCGGACAAAGCACCATAGTGTGGACTACTACTACTAGAGCACTTCAGTACCTCAATGCATAGCATAGCCTATCTACCCTAGACCTCAACGAATGAACCTTTCAACCACCGCGCTCAATATTCTCCACATCCACCACTACAATATCCGTAAAAAAGTCCTACCACCACTACTAACGTTACTTCTTCTTCGCCTCCTCCTCGCGCACCAACCGATCAAACCGCTTGAACCCCTGAAACCCCTCGATCAGCGTCGACAGCACCCACGCCCACCACACGCGGGACCCCAGCGCGACCCCATGCCTCCGTAGCCGCGTGTACGCCAGCACGGATGCCTCGAACGCATGCACGACCAGCGTGAACGCCAACACCGCCGGCTGCATCCTGGCGCAGAACCCCGCGAACCCCTGGGGCCACCACCACCCGGTCTCCAGCCGCAAGCCCTCGTACACCCACCCGCCCGGCAGCAGGTTCTCCCGCCGGCTGAACGCCAGGATGCCCGAGAGACAGATCAGGAAGGCAAGGATGTCGCCGGGCCGGGACGGCACACGGTAGGCGGTGATCTTGATGTCGGAGAGGTCGAGCCGCTCCAGACATTCCTTGTGCATGGCGACGAGGCGGGCGCGGGTCTCGCTGAAGGACTGCAGCGGCGGGTCCAGCGCCACGGTGTAGCGGGTGCCGGTGTTGTGGTTGTGGTGGTGGTTGGTGCGGAGGACGAGATCGGAGAGCGTGATGGTTTCGAGGGTCGCGGTCGAGGCCTCGGCGGCGGAGACGCCATTGTACACGCGGAGGTAGTAGGCGAGGGAGTCTTGGTGGTTGGCGTTCATGTGGGTGATGGTGAAGGAGATTCCGTTGTTGTTGTTGTTGTTGTTGTTGGTTTTACTAGCGGAAGAAGAGGATGAGGCAGACGAGGGGGTTGATGATTGGGGTGGAGGAGACATTTTTTGTTTTGCCCGTCGTTTCTGCCTCGCTCCTCTGGTTTCGATTCGAATTATAGGTTGAGTCACTCGATGGGAGATGTCACAAGTAGCGGTCTGTGAGTTGTGGCTATATACTACTCAAGGACCGGCGAGTCAGGCGAATATTATAATGTAGTGGTGGTGGATGTGGTAGGACACTGTTGGACATAACCGGAGTGATGGATGAGACGGACTCCCTTTTGCGATGCCAAGAATCCACAGGGGCCGCCGGAGACCTCGGGCTAAAAGTCACCCCATGCTTCGCATGTGTTTTCCCCCGTGCAACCCCATTCATGGGTTCTTGCATTCGACCATGGATCATGCTGTCTTCTTGGTGCTCTTTTGCTCACAACAGTTGGACGGCAGATCTGTCTTCTTCTCAGTCTTGGATGGTCGCCAGTGTTGTTGGCTCGAAATACGCCAAGCCGTTGTATAGTCGGAGAAGCCCGCACCACCTGGGAACTCCCTCTAGCAGTACAACTTGGTTTTGAAGACAACCCTGGGATACTATGTGACAGGGTCACAGACCATTGGTCAGCCAACGGCAAGCCCGCTAAATCTATCCGACTTGATGTCAGCATAGTTCACGCACGCATCCTTGTCATAAAAGATAGACATAAGCAGCGGCCCCCCTATGCATGAATCACGAAGGAGGATCGATAGTACACCGTGCCAAGGACCGGATGTATTGACTTGAAATAGATTATTACATTTACCGCTATAAGGCGAAATGACCAACGATGGGAGTATAATTATGCACAATAAACACTAGCCAAAGCTCTATGAGAACAGCTGACAACACATAGAATAAAGCGACAGTAATCAACCGGTCAGGTAAAGATCCTTTCATAATCGTCGTAACGCGACAAGCACAGGCGGCGGAAACGGGATGTTTTGCGATGGCGAGGAAACTCTCGAGAAGAAATTCGGATGGCACAGTCGCTCTCGAAGCACAACAGAATCGAATCGGTGGAGAGCATGTCGGATCATGCGCTGCGTTCATCAAAGAAAAATCGTCAATCCGTCAGGTTCTATTTCAGTTGCTTAAGCGGAGTCCAACGGGAGTTTTTGTGGGGTTGTTGTTGTTTTTCAGTGTTGCCGGGTCGGAAAACCCCCGAAGACTCTCTCATAGGAAAGATACCTCGAAGGTTCTCTTCGAGGCGAACCAGAAGAAAAGCAGACAAGCACGAGAGAAAGGAGGGAGTATGGGGGTATAGTGCAGGAGTGGGGGTCACTTACAGCAGAGCCAATGTCAAATCACCGTGGATGCGAGCCTTCAGCTCAACCTCGATCTCCAAGTTCAGTTCCAACTTCAGGCGCATACCCTCCTCATCTGCGCCCTTCTGGTCGTTCGAGGGTGCCGGATCCATTGCGCCGTTGGAGAGGTTCTTGTTGTCACTGCTGCTTATCGTAGTAGGCTGCCAGCGCTCCATCGCTTGCACAGCTTCTTGCTCGTCATCGTCATATTCATCGTCGTAATCGTCGTCATCGTCGTACTCGTCCGAGGCATAGTCATCAGAGTACTCTGCATCGTCATCGTCATCGTCGTAAGTCTGACCCTGGGCTTGAGGTCGCCGGCGACGCTGGGCCGTCTGCTTCTGTTGTTGCGGTGCTTGATCTTCCTCTTCCTCAGAGATGTAGTCATCCGAATCGTAATCAGTCTCCGAGTCGTCAGGGTCGTTAGTGTAAGTGGGAGGCTGTTGAGTCTTGGGTTTCTCGGCTTGTGCGGTGGCCATGGTGTATGTTCGTTGCTGCTTGTTGGTGCAGGGAAGAGGCAATTAAAACGTAATCAGATTGCGGTTTATACTACTTGTATATCTGTGTATCTTCCGAGGGATCAATCGTGGCTAGTGCCTAGGCGCGTCAGGTCAACGACGAGTATGAGTATGTAATCAAGCAAAACGAGAGGAAGGGAAAGAAGAGGAATAGAGCGAGCCGGAGCGACAATGGTGGGTTTACATACGAGATGGCCCAACACCGATGGGACGGGACTGACAAGTAGAAGGCGAATCGTCAGAGGGCAGAGGGTCGAAGAACGACAGAGACGAGTAGGGTGAGTGGTACGAGCAAATGGTCTGTGAGGAAGGACAGGTCTGGAAAAGCAGGCGTAATGGGCAGGGAAAGACTGCGATGATTTCGCATGCGCGACTGGAGAAGTCAAGCGATATGACGTCGGAGGGACAGGGAAGGAGAGCCAAAGAAGCGCCTCCGCACCACGGACATCAACGACATCATCGTCGTTGCAGCATCGCTCCAGCGCTCAGGTCAGGCGATTCCTGATCGGCCGGGCCACGTTGTCTGGACCCTCGTTTGAGGACGCAAGGGGTGGTGGTGGTAGTTGTGGTGGTGGGGTTACAATGACCACCGAATGAATTCATCGTCATCATGGGGGGATGGGGGGAATTTGGAGTGAGGAGTACGTAGATTGCACTGTTCGGGCATACTGAGTAGCAAGTTACATTTTCATAGAGTACAGTAGTCAAGTTACGTACCGGAGCATAGTCCACGGTGTGACCATCGGGTAACCAGAATAGCAAGCCAGGTGTACTCGGTACCTGGAAATGGCAGAGGTACGGCCGAGAGAAGAGCCATGGAAAGTGCACTGCGGGTCATTCCAAGAGGTCAGAAAAAAAGAGGCAAATCGGCACTGCGTATCCGATCTTGACACATTCCTATACTTTTTATTTTGACTTCTATCAACCCTTATGTGCTGTGAAGAGCAGCAATTCATGAAGTGAATCCCACGTACTGAGCTCCAGAGGTATACTGATTGTACTCGTGGTAACAATGAGGGTATTGTCCATGTAATCCATGACTTCTCAAGCCGTTGGAGAGTGACGTCTGTTGGCCGCGGGCGTCATCCACAGTGACTGGAAAGGGCATAAGTTGGTGGAGACACACGGCACAGTCAATCAAACAATAAATAGCATATTGTCCGATACCTTCTTCTTATTGGATGATTTGGTATGCCATTGGCAGTGAACAAGAAGAACAAAAGGCCCCTGTCACTGTCAAAAAAACACTAACTCCCCTCCCTCCTCAGCAATCGACGTCATCATCCCCAGCCCTGGCAGCAAAAGCAAAAAAAAAAGAAAAAAGACCACCTACCAACGACGATCGCCTCCCTCGTCGGCGGCGCAAGCTGACGTCGATGGCAGTCCCCCCCAAACTTCCCCCCCAACCCACAATATGCCCAGATCCTTGCATGACTGAACCGAGCGGGGCATTTTCCCATCTTGCAATCGAGGAATTGAGGTAATCGAAAGTAATCAAGGTAAACCGAAACAAAACGATCTCTGGTCCCAAATAACCGGCTGGGATTGGTGGTGAAAGGGGTTGGTGGGAGTGGTGGAAGCCTGTATGTAACATGCACAACGCAAAGGAAAGAAAAAAGCCCTATATAGATCTGCGACCCCGTATCACCAGACCGGTAACATCACCAGATATATTCGTCCTTGTGCCCCCCGTCAATCCTCCTTGAGATTCTTCTTCTCTTTTTCTTTTTCCTTTCATCATGTCCGAGCAGACCAACAATCCTTCCTCCAACCCTTCCACCCCTCAACAAGAGAACACTCCAGGCTCCCCCCAGCCCCAGGAGGAAGACCATTCCGAGCAGCAGCAGCAGCAGCAACAACCTGACCAGTCCAAGGAAGAAGACAACAAGGACAACAACGAATCGGAGCAAAAGCCCGACGAGGAAAAGGAAGACGATAAGGATAAGGATCAAGATCAATCCCAAGAACAAGATCAACCCCAAGACCAAGAACAATCCAAGGACCAAGATAAACCCGAGGAGAAGTCTCAAGAACCCGAGATAAAGCAAGAAGAAGACGAAGAAGGAGAAGCAGCCGAACCCCAGCCCAAGACAGAAGAAAAAGAAGAGCCCCAACCCAAGAAAGAAGAGCCCGAATCCGACGCTCCTCAACCCAAGCAAGAACCCCAATCCGAAGAAGCCGACAGCAAACCCAAGAAGGACCCGCAGCAGCGCAAACGCCGTTCGCGTCCTCCCCAGAAACTTCACAGACAACAAGAAGAATCCGACACGGAATCAATTCCCCGCAACAACATGGACAACGGAGCCGTTGAGAAGCCCCGCCGCCAGCGCCGCCAGCGCACGCAGCAGCAGCAGCAAGGCGGCCAGGACGGCGGTCTGGGCGGCCTCCCCGGGGTCGGGCAGGCGGGCGATCTCGTCCAGAACACGGCGGGTCAAGCCCTGGGCGGAGTTACCGGCGGAGCGGGCAAGACCGTCGGCGGCCTCCTCGGCGGCGGCGGCAAGCAGGAGGAAGGCGATGGCAAGGACGAACAATTGCGACTGCGTCTGGATCTCAACCTGGACATCGAGGTCCAATTGAAGGCCAAGATTCACGGTGATTTGACTCTGGGCTTGTTGTAAGTTTTCCCCCCTTCACTCTTCCCTATTCCCTCTTCTCCCTCTCCACTCCGATTATATATTTGAAGCCAGCTCATAGTGCGAATAGTAGCTAACCACGTCCGAAAACTCACCGTAGGAACTAAACCACGACAACACCCCTTTTTCGATTCGGAATCCGCCCTCCCCTTCCCGTTTTTCCCACACTTTCCTGACTTTGAAGCTTCATTTTCTATTTTCTTTTCTTTTCTGGTTCTTCGTTCTCCTGCAGAATGAAAAATCGAGGGTCTCGATAGAAAAAGTGTTATCCCACACGGTTCCTCCCCCAAACAACACACCACACCCTAGCGGGTGGTGTTTCATGCTTATGCCTTGACGGTTTTGATACCTCCACTTTTCTTTCGCCTTGAGAACTTTATTTCGTCGTTGTGCTTGGCTTCTAGTTTTCTTGATTGTTTCTTCATCGTGCCTGCATCCTCCTAGAAGATATTCGCGTGTATGTGGGTGTGTGTGTGTGTGTGGTTCCTCCTTGCCTGTCTAATAACTCGCTTATCTTCATTATTCTACTACCTCCTGTTATGTCGATGAAATGAATGTGATGAACCAACTATCCTATAAGATTGATCTGATAATGTAGACACATGCCAATGACTGTAGGAGTTTGTCAAATGGATGAACCATCAATGCGCCTGGGTTTTCAAACCTTCGTATGCTGTAAGCATCAGAAGAAGGTCTGACAGTAACCGCCATCTTGTCTTGAGCCAGATATATGAACAACACTCTATACATTTCTCATCTAATTGAAACAGTTAAACAAGAAAGGTTAGGTAGGTAAAACAAAATAAACATGAACAGAACCGATAGATCCCCCCTCCCTCCTCCCCCGCCACCGCGGCTATTGGCATGCATACAATACACTCCAAGTCCAGTAGTAGACCTCAAAACTCACCCACCGTAGCGACAACGTTAGCCATGGTGATTCGAAGTCATTACACCAAGAACAGCCATGTACCGCAGCCCAGCCACGCAATTCCCAAACCAAGCATCCCCTATCATGTCATCCTCGATTACAACCCCGCAATGTACATCAACCCATAGCCTACCGTCACGACCACGACAAACGCCATAAGACTGGCCGGGATACCGCGCGTAAAGAAGTGCCGGACTTGCAGGTACCGCTGACCGGTTTGCGGGACTTCAGTCATGATGGCGGCTAGAGACAAGTGTTGGTTAGATGCATGGTAAGAGTCAAGAAAAGTGCGGGTCACGTACTCATATTGGGGAAGCCACTGGTGGGAAGTGCCATGGCCACAGAGCACATCAACGCGCTGGCCATCACGAGCAGGTTGGGGTGAGGATCCGCCATGCTGACGCCGATCTGGCGGACCAGAGGGAGCATGATCAACGCCGCAACGGTGTGGGAGATAAAGGTAGCGATGACCAGAATCAAGGCGGAGAAGACGATTAGCACGCCGTAAAGACTCAGATGCTCCACGCGCATCCGGATAGCATTGGCGAGTGTGTGCAGAAGCCCAGACGATGTGACGGCCTTGCCAAGACAGAGTCCGCCCGCCGCAAGGATGATGATGGTCCAAAGAAAGTTGTTAAAATCCTCCTTGTTGAGGATACCAGTGCCGAAGAACAAAACCATGGGAATGATGGCGATCACGCCCATGTCGCCGAAGATATGTTCGAGTTGGTGGCTGCCACACCAGAGGCCAATGGTCGACAGAGTCACAATGGTGATGAACCATTGCACGCCCGTGAACTTGTCCTTGAGTGGTCGAATCGGAACAATGGTCGTATCCTGACCCACATGGAAACTTACCAACAGAAGGACCCAAATCAGCAGGATAGAGATGATACACACAGGCAAGGAGATGAAGAACCATGTACCCCAACTGATGCTCGGATACATGTTCTGAAGTGCAATGATGTTCTGTGGAGAAGCGATCGGCGATGCGGCGCCCCCGACGTTGGCCGCCAGAGCGATTCCAAGGACAAGGGCCTTGGCGAAGTTCGAATCCGGTGACAGGTTGCGCAAAAGCGGCTGGATGATCGAATAGCACAAGACTGGGGAGGCGACGTTACTGATCCACATACTCAAGAACATGCTCACGAACATGTTGGTGAGAAGGACCACTCGGGGATTGGAACCCGCTTTGCTCAGCACGAACATAGCCATCCGACGGGCAATATCGTACTTGGACAACGCTGCTGCAATGGTAAACCCGCCGAGTAAGAGCATGATTACCGGCGTCCACATGGCACTAAAGGCGGCGCTGGTGGCCTCCTTCGGTCCCAGCCGCTGGTGAGGCTTGTCCTCGGACTTCATGATACGAAGCATCACGACAAGGAAAGGGATAAGTAACGAAGTCACGAAGAGAGGAATGACCTGCAATCAGTTAGCGCTGTCCGTTATTATGTCTGACAGCCCGAAACGTGGCCAAACATACCTCAGTAGCCCATAGCAAACTGACAAACACAAGCATAGCCAGACAATTCTGTTGCTCCGGCTTTTCCAGGATAGGAACAGAAAGCAAAGTCGTAAAAACAACCAAGATGAAGACAAGTGTACCGAAGCTCAAGCTGCAAACCCACTGAGGGAGGTGGTAGACACCAATCGGCGTCCTCACCACTGTACCTTTGGTTTCTTGCTCGTCACCCTGGCGGCGTGCGGCTGCTGGATCGTTGTCTCCCCCAAGTAGAGTGCGACGAATACCAACGTTAGCAGCCTGAGCTTTCCGTTCGATGCCGATCATCTCCCTCCAGACGGTGTTCCTCTCCCAGACAACATGCTCTCTCAGATGCAGTCGCAGTTCACGCTTGGCTAGAGGCAGGTTGCCCGTAGTGATCACCTCAGCGTAAACAGCCTCGATCTTGTGGATGTGATCATCTACCCTTTCCATGGTGTAATCCGTAAAGGGGTAGGCCGGAGCCACAACCGCGTTCATGTAATCCCGGCGCAAGTTACGGTCCATGATCTTGTCATACTTCTTCAGAGCCTTGGAGAAGCCCGTCTTGTTCAACTGAATGTACGACTTGAGCCCACAGATGGAGACGTAGGCGGTAACAGCTTGTTTCTTGAGCGACACACCATCGTTATAGAGATCCACCACGGTGGGATCGGCGCTTTGCTCGTCGTGGGCGCCTGCACGGCTCGTAGATTGGCCGTGGTACCCTAGCAGCCTAGAATCTGCCGCCCAGACGCTCGAGTCCCTCATATCCTCCGTGCGACTACCGTCATGATTACTGGATTCGGCCCCATGCGATCGAGGTCGGTTCTGACCCGTCGGCGCGGCACGGTCATCGTCACTGTCTGCATCGTCATCATCGTCATCGTCTTCATCTCCGATCGTGTCGCTGAACGTGCTACGTCGCCGCTCCTGTCGGTTCCTCGAGCCGGAACTCATGGTTCTTGCCTTAATCATGTTCTCGCTCATTGGGTCGATATTTGCCCTGTCGGCCCTGGACACATAGTCCTCCGCAAGTCTGGCCACATCTTCGACCTCCTTGAACACTTCCACCTCCTTTACTTGGTAGAAAGAGCAGATTTTCTCCAGCTCCGCATCTAAAGCCCGACGGAAGATCGCATCCGGGTTCGGCGTGTTATCGAGCAGCGGCGCTGACTCAACATCGGGATGGCTCTGAGCAGTCGAGCGGTGCGCTTCCTGTTCTAGGGAATAAATCCTACCACAACAGGTTAGCTCAGCACTTTGACGCCTCGCAAAGGAGACCAGTGGATACAACGATTCTCCTTTCCCCCCCAACGAAAACAATGTCGCACAACGCGAGCATTGTGCTAGCGGAATTGGGAAGACGGGGTGTCGGACGACGTACAATTTCTTAAGGTTGCTGTAAGCGAGGTAATAGGCACTCCAATCCGGCACCGCGTTGAACTGGATGCTGTGTGAGAACTTCATCTTGGGCGAAGGGGTGCGCTGGTGGTGATAAGCGCAGCGTTGGAGAGCTTCTATCCAAAACTTGATTCTATCCGGCCTTCTGTGCTGGGTGCGCCGGGGGACCCTCTTCTCGTCGTCGGTGCCGTGTAAGGTACTGTCCGGGTGGTGCGCAACGGCTCGAGATCGCGGATCGTGTGACTTGGCCGATGTCGTGACAGGAAGGGATTCGGGGAATTCGACGAGTTCGATAGCCTGATGATCGAGAGGGGTTACGGTGTTATCGTAGTGCGTGGAGGCACCCCTCGCAGAAGCGATGCGTGCCACAGATCGGCCAACGGCATTCGACGACACGGTGTCGGACGAGAAAAAGAATGCGAGGGAGGAGCGGGGCAAGACCGGCAATGAATTAAATATCGGTTCAATGCACTCGCACTCGTGGATTTGACGGTCTGGCTGAATGTGTATTTTAGGTTGCACCTTCGAACGCTAGCGCACTAGTGTTGGTTGATAACGACTCTCGTTTCGTGGTTTAGTTAATGGTATCGTTATCGTCCCCGGGTAGTTAGTCGATGGCTGTGCAAGACTCCGGTCGGCGAACGGCCAACGCACGTCTACAACTGCAATGTGCCACAGCACCTGTCAAAACCAGAGCTGATGAGAAGCAGTGAGAAGCAATGAGAGAGAAGTGGGTTAATTCTCATCCTAGGGAAACAAAAAGTCAGATTGAAGTAGGAAACGTTGGAGCTGAGCTGAGCTGAGCTAAACTGCTACAGCTGACGCCGAGACAACCCAATCGGGAAGGGGGGGTTAGTCATCCGGAGGTTATCGGGGAGCTTCACCTTTCCGGCGATTGCTAGAAGCTTTAGATCGGTGAACATTAAATATACAGAACTCTTAGAAACAGTGACTCGGCTTATTGAAGAAAAAACAAACGAACAAGGTAAGGAATACACACTGGGAGAACATAAGAAAAAAATATACAACATCCCCCAAAAGCAAGTTAGCCAATTCCTGAACCCGTATTCCATGGAATGCAATTAGATTGAACCCCATCGCTGCAATCATGGCATAATCAAACTGGTGATACAAAACAACTATTTCCGGTTCATGAGGTATCCAAGGTTCGACCGGCCTGCAACACCAAGCTTGTGCACCATCTCCCTGCGATCCCACGCACCACTACGGCCCTCCGCAACGGAAACCAGCTCCTGTGCAACTCTCATAGCGAAGTTGCTGTCCCGACGCTTGTCCGAAGCGTCGATAATCCACCGAATGGCCGTCCGCCGACGCTGTCTGAGAGCGAGGGGCACAGGGATCTGCACCGCTGCACCACCACCAGCAATACCCTTCTGTTGGCGGATCTTGACCAAGGGAGCAACGGAGTCGATGATGAGAGTGAGGTAGAGGAGAGGGTTGAGAGGAAGCTGGGCGTTAGGGGGGCCGGGAAGCAAAGGTCGCCTCGGGTTCCTGTTGGGTGGAGGCGAAGTCCGCAGGTGGTCCAGAATGAACGACATATCCTGCCAGAGCATCGCGGTTAGCATGACTATGGCTCAGAGGACCAGGTCCGATGAGTTAGCCACATACCTTGTAAGCCCTGGACAACTTTCCATCACGCATGAGCTGCTTTGTGAGCTGCTCCAGTAGCCCGTCGTATCGGGAACGGAAGTTATCGGTCTTGCCCAAAGGCTTGCTGGGCGCATCGAATTTAAGTCCAGGGTGCAACTCGGCAGCTTGCGCGTTAACCTGAGAAACCATGTTCGCCACAAGGGCAGCCGAAGCGTCGTCGAAATCAGCCGACTTTTCTAACTCTGGTTGCATGCGACGAGCAGATGTTGAGAATGAGCGCTTGCCCGACTGATTCTTCATTTGGTCTTGCATGACCTTGGGGGCATGTTTTTGAGCATTCTTATCACGCTGCAAGATCTGCGCGGAAAAGTAGTCAACGTTAGGGTTTAGACGCTACCAGAAGCACAAGGAAAGACATGGCGCTGAAGAAGCAACAGCAGTCCAGACGAGCTACTCACCTCAGAGATAGGCGTTCCCTGCTCCAGTTCCGGGCTGGAGACACCGCCATCGCATCTCTTGTCCATAATCTTGCTGACCTCGGCGGCCTCTTCACTAACATGGGGCAAAGGGTCCTCGGTCGGGCCCTTAAAGCCCTCTGACTTTTCCTTTCCATCGCTACCGGACGAGTTCCAACGCTTCGTCATCTGGGCCGAAGCTGAGAGGCCGGATTTCACGCCATTGGTGGTCGAGGGCCGGTTGGCATTCCAAATAGTCGCGATGCTGCGGCGGGCAGCGGCCGTCGAAGGCTGGCAGAAAGCGGGAACCGCTCTTGCGGTGAAGAGATTGAGACGCGGCGGCATCGTGATATGAGGCCTTCAATGACCGGAGACTATCTGTCAATTGGAAGGGAATGAAAGTGGATGAAGTCACTCTAATCGGGCCTGGCTCCTTGCCATGAAGTTCGGCGAACGATTTTCCTCCTCCACATTTGCTGAGTCATCGATTGCCAAGATTCCAGCGAAATGTGAAGAAGGAAACGAGAACCGCCACAACTATGACGATGTTTTTGTACACTACATCATTCTTAGACTTGAGTTATCGAAGATCCTGGACACAATTGCTAATCTCAAAGGATTTGCACTCTATTGCCCAGCACCTTCAATACAGTCAATTTTACGCCGCAACTGAACTCACCAAGCTTGTTTAAATTCCGTACGCACCACAGCACGCTTGTAGAAGCAACAGAGTACGATAACTACTTAACTGGCCTACAGCGTTTTTCGTCCAGCAGAGCAAAAACAAAGAGCCACCAACAATGACACCGAGATGTGAAAATCGCCGCCGCTTACCACACGCGAGAAATCACAGCTGTATTACATACAGCATGACCTAGATGCACAAAATGAGCAATTGGAGATTGTTGAGCGAGCGCGAGAGTTTAGACCGAAGAATGCTGACAGCATTGACAAAATAGGCTCTCACATCGCTCTGAGATGCTACATTCAATGATTGAACAGAGCATCGTCGCTAGCACTGTCCGGATACACGTAGAAAGCGAGTGCGAGAATGATGTACCTATGATGATAGTCAGTAAATTGAGCAACCAGTCATCATTGGATGGGGACTCGGATGCTTACATTCCCAGACATAGCCCGCCTTCAAGGTAGTTAGACTTTCCATCCTGAATCAGGAAAGTAACGACCAAACCAGAGATGAAGAACGCGACAGTCTCGAAGATATGGAAATGCAGTGTCATATCCACATTCATGATCCAGCCAAGAATGACGAGGAAGGGAGTAACAAACAGCGCAATTTGGAGACTGCTCCCGATGGCAACTCCAATAGCCAGATCCATTTTGCCCTTCCAAGCAACAACCACGGCGGTGACATGTTCGGCGGCGTTGCCGACAATGGGAATCAAAACAAGACCAATGAACGTACGACTCATGCCAGTCTTCTGTACAATGCTGTCGATACTACCTACGAGGTAGTCGGCGCAGATAGCCACCAGAATCGTCACGACAATCAAAGCAACTGTGGCAGCCCATGGGTTGAGCAGTCTTTCTTCTTCTTCTTCTTCCTCCTCTACTCCCGCGTCTCCCGCTTGGTTTTCGGCGTCATTAATCTCGTTGTTGGCTTCTTCGAAAAGTTCCGCGTGCGACTTGAGCTGGAAGTATAGGTACATCACATAGAGTATCAAAAGGATGATGGCGGTTCCGTGGGAAAGAATCAGGATGTTATCTCTCCTTTCCCCTTTGTCAGACCCGCTCAGAGAGGCATAAAGCGTAGCAGGGATGATGAGAGAAGCGGAAGCGACGGTCATCAGCGAAGACATGGTTGATGCCACTGTACTGTTAAAGGTTTGCTCGGAGTAACGTAACCCTCCAATGAAGAAGCAACATCCAAGGACGAGCAAAATGTTGGACAAAATGCTTCCAAGCATGCTGGCTTGGACAACTCGAATCTGATTGTCTTTCAAAGCGATTATGCTAACCTGGAATCGACCATTCGTGTTAGACCAAACACCATTTTGAGAGGGCTCTAGCGAGCGGGCTTACAATCAGCTCAACGGCATTGCCAAATGTTGCATTCATCAAGCCACCTAGAGCCTGACCCATCGTCGCGGCCAGCTCCTCGGTTGCGAAACTCAGGAGCGAGGCCAGAGGAATGATTGCCAAGAAATTGAGCGTAAAAATGACGGTGCTATCCCAGTGCAGAACACCTGCGATGATGCCCAGAGGCACGAAAACGAGAAGGACGTTGACATAATCGCGGACCAGTGTCGACCATGTTAGATGCGCAACTCGTCTAGGCCAATGAGACCAGTGGTGTCGAGGCTTCTGATGTTGCTGGCGAAACCCAGAGTTGATGCGAGCTGTATCGCTGATCAAAGCCTGTCTCTCATCTGGCGGCTCGACGGAGCCATTTCTTGACGAGAATCCAGTCATGTTCCTTCTGGGTCCCCAGGAGACCCTTCGAACTGTCGAGCGAATGCTTGTAGCCGCTGCGAGGCCAATGACAGAAACTTGTTAGCAAAAAGTGTTGAGTGGACTAACTATGGTGGAATGCGCAAAGCGGACTAGAGAGTATGAAGATGTAAAAGAGAGAAAAATTCACAGAAGCGACAAGAGAATGTGGATAAAATAATCGATCATCCAACTTTTGCTTTATAACTTTCAAGAAAGTCTGGGATGAGTTTAAAAGACTGGAATAATAGTTGGAGGGTGATAGAATGAAACTAATTGTAGAATGATGGGGTAATGATGGGGTCGGAGTGGGAACTGCTGAGGGAAAGACGACCAGTTTGCGCCGTCGATCAGAAGGAAAGACGCGGAAAGGATTGAAGGGGACGAGCAGATGCCAATACCTGGGCCAGTGAAGTAGATAAGGGTGAGGAAATGGGGGTGGAGTAATTGGAGTTGAAAGACAAGGTGGTAGCACTACTGCTTCCCAGAACCGGTCGAAACATGGATTGGCAGAGCCAAGGAACTGTGGTTCAAACACTTACACATCGGAAAAGATGTAGTGTGGCAAGGAAACAAAGCCACAACTCTGCGACAGTCGGGGAATTATAAGAAGGGGAGATTTGACAGTAGTATGGATTGTCCTTGGAGCTGTAAGCCGGTAATTAGTTCAAATCTGCAGGATCGATTGACAAAAGTCAGAGCTCGTGACCGGATGTGCTGGGATTGAACGTTGTGTGGCTTGTCGTGGTGGGTGGTTCTTGTTCCTTTGCGAGTCCAAGCAGGCCTAAAGCACAAGCCATGTAATTCTCGGTGGCCAGGAAACCTTGTACTCAGTAGTATATATAATAATGGGGAGTGAATGACCGCGCGGTTTGTGATGAAGCTCTCAGTCCAACGACACAGCTAGGGTATCGAAAAGAGGGGATCGGAACCAGGGGGTAAGGGAAGCCAAGAGGATGGGCTTAAGAGGGTCGACGTACCGCAATAAGTCGCTAAACAATGAACAAGATTCCGAGGGTTCCACTAGCCACGACAATTGGTTGTGAAAGGTCGGGTGGATCGAGATTGATGGCTGGGACCACAAGAGCAGGTGGCAGGTGCGGTGCACAGCCCCAATTCGAGTATCCCACGGTGGTGTCCTGCTGCTTGGGTACCGATCGACGACCTTGAGGGAGAAGATCAGAGAAGATCAGGTTGTCAATTTTGAAGACTTGAAGAAACCTTGTAGCGACGAGTGGGGTAGAAGGGGGTGGGATAGCAGCACAGCTTTTAATATTGAGGTTATGCTCGATTGAGATGACGTTGGGTCACATCGTATGGAGATGTTGATGAAATCATGGCTGGCTGGGGAGGAGACACGACAGTCAACGAGGGACACTGACACTGATACTGACACTAGCCGCTCAGCGATACGAATTCCTAAACGGTTTGTCTGGCCCGAATCGTGTGCCACCATCAACAATTAATTCACCGGGCCCAGAGGTCCAGAAAATGCATACCCCAGGCAGTGTAGACACACTTGCTGGAAAGCTTAACATTTGAGAGAACAGACCATTGTACGAAGTACTGAGTAAGAATCACTGCATGCATGCATCATCGGCAGCTTCAACACTCAAGCTTGACCCGATTGGGGATGTCGGAGGTGGGGCAGAGCCGAGCTTAACTCCCACTGCAAGTCTCGATCAATACCACCTCCGTACGGAGTAAGGTATCTACTAGGTATCACGTATAACTAGATGGACAGTCTAGGCGCTCTCTCGACCTAGTAGCGACGCTAGAATGACAATGTGCGAAAGAATCATTTGTATCACCATCTATCTACCTTAGTATGCACCAAATTGATGCACTGCCACACTAATGTCAACGGTCTGGTCTCATGCGTTGGTCAGGGCTCGCTTGGCATGCTGATGTAGCCAATAAATAACCCTGCCCATGCTTTCCTATGACTGAGAACTCCGTGTCAAACAAGCCGTGTGCAAAGAAACGCTGCAGCTGCACTTGGAAATACACCATACAAAACGAAAGACCAATACCTCACTAAGTATGGATTGGCCATTCTGACACGAGTTCCTCGTCATTTGCAGTAATCCATCATTGCATTGACACGAAAAGGCCTATATCGACAACTGGTATAGATTGTATAAGATAAGAATTTCCAGGCACAGACATCTCATTCATGTCGCCCGAACAGAACGGAAGTCGAAGACATAAATAGCGCAAATATATGAAATACATCCTCCACTAACAACGACCTCTCACGGTCTAGGCTCCTCCCAAAGCTATCGATGTGGTCAGTACTAAACTGTGTCAAGCTACCCAAAGTATCGAAACTTACCGGCTGCATAAGCCAGATACCATGTCCGAGAGGCACCACCGTCAATCCAGCTGTAGTCGAAGTTGGACTGCGCGAAGAAATCCCACGAGGTTGTGGGATCGATCAGAGCCAAGTTGGCATACAAAACACCCTTCCAACCCCCAACCACGTTTGAAGCAGGGGTACTGGCAGTGCTGGCGAAGAGAGCATTCCACTCTTCGCGGACGAAGTTCTGCCTTCGAGTGAATCCGGAGAATGGCATGAGTGGCAACATGTGAATTCTAGATGAGTTAGTTGTTGATCCTGGCAGAAAGACGAAACAAACGGGAAGCCCCAACATACCCTTGAACATATTCAAGATTGGCACCAAAGTAGGTAGTGTGATCTACCTTGTTCTCAAAGAGCTAGATATTGTGTAAGTCATGCAACCATGAATGGGGCGATGGGATTGTCACTTACAATACCAGTCACCTTGTTCGCAATGAAGTTAGCAGGCTGGTTCTTATTGTCGCTTTCCAATAGGAAGTAGTTGTGCAAGCTGCGCCTCAGAATTCCCAACATCAAATTGCCTCGAGCTTCCAGACTGGGGTCGCTGATGGTCTTTCCCCACATTTTGAGCGCATAGGCAAACATAGTATCCTCGGAGGTAGACTCCTGGTCCTTGCCATCGAAGGATTCAAACAGTCCTTTGGCCCACGAATGTCCATTGAACCAATCGAAAGCGCGGGAAAATGGGAAGTATGGATCGTTGGCGGCGGAGTTTCCAGCATCCCGAACAAGCATGTTGACCCAGTCCTTGTTGGATGACAGCCAAGTCGGATCCAGAGAGCCTATGATAGCAGCTGCATGGATGAAGTAGCCATAGTGAAAATGGTGGTCATTGTAATAGGTATTTCCGAAATCAGCGCCCGAATCACCGCCGTAACTCGCCGATGACACCACACCCTTCCAGACAGTGTCATACACCAATGGGAATTGCTGCTGATTGGTGCTGAAGCGCGAAAAGGCAGTTTTCAGATTCTGCAATGCCGAGGCGGCCAGAGCAGGATCCCCGCCTAGCTTGTTCACAGTGTACACCAAGGTTGCGAACTTGCTCAGAGCTTTCCCACTGTAGTACATGCTGTTCAAGTTGGTCTGCGCGTCAATGCTCTGGTTGAGCTCCGTCGGTGCGACAGCCAAAATAACCTTCTGCGCTGCCGCCGAAATACTGTTCACATTACCCGAAGACGCGGACCATGGAGCAAATCCCATGTCGGTAGGAAGATCCGACTCGACCATAGTCCACGTTTCTCCAACGACCGCAATCGCATTTCCCTTGGTGGTTGTGCGAAGATTGATACTCGTCATCCGACTCTTCGTCGTGGCATCGAACGACTCAACATGATGAGGCAGAGCGTACATCATCAAGGGTGTATCCTGGGTCTTTGTCCCTGACTTAGCCCACGACAGCTGATACGTGCCTGTACGCGCATTCACCGTTCCAGAGATAGCAGCCTCGAGAGCAAAAACACCGGCTGAGCCGTCGAGCAACTTCTCCCCAGAGTCTCCACCAGGGTTCTTGGTGATTTGCACAAACCCGGACCACCCAGCTGGGCCGCGGAAGTTGGTGTTGGACTCCAACTGGAAATTAGGATCCTTGCCATCCTGCGGAACGGCATAGATAAGCCAGATGCTTCCATCCTCCATGGTGGCCTTATACTTGAAGATACCAATTCTTGGAGAGGCGGCCGTAACGACCTGTCTGAAGAAAACGCCAGTCTGAATTAGAGGCTGCAAGTTCGTGTACAGGCCGGTCACAAAGCCCATGCCTTGAACAAGGGGGACTGTGAGGCGCTGGCTAGACCCGCTATCTGGTTTCAGGACAGCATCCGCAGAGAACGGCAGGAGGTTCTCCCCAGTAAGCACCGTGGAAGCCTTCAGCTCTGTTGCCGATAAGATCAAGTGCTGAATGCCGATCGGGTTCACATAATACGAAATCGGGTTTCCAGGAATCTTCGAATTCGTCGGCCCGTTGGCGACCACGTTGGCCTCGTTGTGCCAAACTGCCATACCGAAGCTCTGTGCACTACCACTGCCTTTAGCCCAGGCAACGGCATATGGGTGAGTGAAAGTAGCATTAGTCTGCGATCCCAGGAAAATACCACTGTAGAACTTGTTGGTCTCAATTGGAGTGTTGACATTTTCCTGTGAGAGTCAGACGCGTGCTCTAACAGAACCGACCATTCGACTTACGATTCCTTTCTTTGGCACGGGGTGATCACCCCTCGATGTTACAACTGGAGGAATTGCCCCCGTAGCCAACGGAACAAATACATCTTGACCGCCAGACATTTGTGTAACTGAGCCTAAGGCCAGTCAATGTCAGACAGCATGCCACATATGACTCGACGCACAACTTACTTGGCAACACGGTTGATGGGGTAGAAGTAGCAGCGTTAGAAGTCTCGCTTGGCTCAGTGTCAGAATCAGTCGTAGTCGGGGTTGCAGTCGAAGGCTTGTCGGTGGAGGACACAGAAGTTGAATTATCATCCAAATCCTCGGATTCGTCGTCGGCGTCGTCGTTGTCGTCAATGTCAGTAGGGGTTGGTGTGGGTCTGTGCCCAGTCGGCCTATGAAAAGGACTGTCTTCTGTCGAGGTAGAATCTGCCGTTGGCACAATCGCTGGGGAGTCGGAATCACTGTCTTCGAAATCAGGTAATAGAAGATCAAGCAGATCTGCAGGAC